AAAACAAACTTTAAATGCATTCGTCTCCAGACTTAAACCTTTCCAACTGTCACATCCCACTTCGCTAAAGCAGCTCCGTAGTGATCGTGGGTCGATACCACCCGCAAGTAGAAACCTAATGGCTTACTGTTTAGTAAATATTTCCTGAATAGCTAATTGTATGGATTCGCCACTGGTTGTCTGAAATTATTTTTAGGGCTTCATAGAAAGCGATGAGATATTTTATAGAGTGACATGTTTATCCTAATCCCTAAGTTTCCCTAACTTTCAGTTCAGTGCTCGTTTCATTTAGAATAGAAGGCTGAAGGCTAAGGTGTCATAGCTTTCTGTGCGATAATGTGTCTTTTCTGAGTTCTGTATGCATATATTTCGAAGTGAAAACTGCGATCATAACTTTTTTTTTTGTTGCTGCAATTTGAAGCTTCAATTAACTAACTGTGATCTGAGAGCATCATTCATACTGAATAGAGATGCAGTAAATTCCACTTAGAAAGTGTAAGTGCAGCTAATACTTTGTAAATGATTAAACGGTATTCAAAACAATTCAGCAACAAATGACATTTCAAAAAAATATACATGTAGATAAAACGTTCATCCAGAACACAGAAAAGATGCTCATTTTCACAAAGAACTCGATAAACTATAACAAACACAACATTTATGGTTGATTTTTGGTCTCATCCCAGAAACTTGAAGTATCGCAAAAAAATTTAACGCAATCATATTAAAGTATGTTTCCTTTATCATTTGTTGAAATGAAATGTAGAATAGCTTTTGCTGATAACATTGGCGTTGGTTGTTGCAATTTAGCTCATCGGTCTCAGCAATTAACCTTCAACCAGTGGGTTATGTATTCAAGAAATGGTCTTCCACGTGATGTTTAGGCGATCAGACAGTATTACTAAGCCTGACTTCTAAAGCAGCCACCTTTTCGTCTACAAATGGCTTAACCGTACTTTTCATCCAGTAAGAAGTTAGACGGGCCTGTAGTACCCGCTCAGTTCAGATGAAAACAAGGTCATATACATTATTTCGATCAAGCATGCCAACAGAAAAGACATCAATCATATTAATTTTGTGATGAAACAAATGTGTAAAAAAAAATAGTAGGTCTTTAGCTGTTTAACTTTTTTTCTGAGGAACAAAACAAATTATTTACGAATCATTTTGAAAGAGAAAAGCATTTAACAGACCATGTGGTAGCTAATTTGATGAAATATCAGTATCGCTTCAAAAGGCCGCAGTTAATAACTTACGTAGTTTCATAAATTTGGATTTCAGTAGGCGAAGGATATTAAACTTTGTTGGATAACATTTATGCATTGTGATTGTGAGCCTTGCATCACAAAAACAACACAATCCTTCCAATCTATAATTTTACATCTCGCTATTTCGCCACACACTGAAGTATTCATCAGCTAAGTACCTTTATAAATAGTGCTCTGACGGTTGAAGTGATTGGTCCTGGGTTTGAGTCCTAGGAGGAATAACATACCTCGCTGAGATGAAGCTACGTTCGGCTGAAAAGTCTCATTTGGAACGAAACACACGTTCTGGATTCTACTGCCTGCCACCATGCGTTATTAACATTTAGTAGCCTATAGGATCAAATAAGGTTAAGTGGTGGCTTTAGGACTATTATAGTTATAAAAAACCTCCTCTTGACATACAAATAGTCACATGTAGATTCAACAGATGTTGTGTGCATGAAAACACCTTTTCAATGAGCTTCGCTTCCCTTTGAAAATGCTGTACAACTATATACACATGAAAATGATAAATTATGACTGTACATCCAGGTAAAGGCAGTTGGATGAGAGAGATTATATAACAATCAATCTCTGTTGAGTCGACTTCATGCCTCATTGTGTTCAGTCCGTTTTCTTTGTCCTCAGTTTAGTGTCTTTTACACATGAAGTTCATCATCGAGGTGAATAGAATCTATTCAAAGCTTTGATCAAAATCAATAATTTACTTGAAATCAAACACTTTCTGATACTATCGATTTGCATAAAGGCATTTACCCAGTGTACTATGGTAAAGTGTGCTACTAATGAGAATATCAGTAGAGAGTATAAGATATGATATCGTTGAGTAAAGCGGTTAGACTCAACATTGAATCGTTGTAAACCGCTAAGAAAGAAACGGAAAACATAGAAAGGAAAGATAGACGAAAAAAAACCCAGAGATATGAGAACAATTCATCTGAAATGTAGAATGCAGAGACTCGCAGTCACACTCAATAATCTGTTGCACATTCATGCAGTAGTGAACAATAAGACACGCCTAGTTGGTGAGGGTTACTGCTAATACTACTTGGTTGGCTAAACCTCGGTAAGTAATGCTAGGTTCAAACCCATGACCCGTTTGGTTGAAAGTCAACTCCTTAAACCAATAAGTCACTATTTGAATGAAATATGTTTAAAGTATTAATATTTTACTAATCCTCAGTGTCATTTCCCAATAAGCAGTCCTCTTCTGTCTTGTTTTCGTTACCACTACTAAAGCTACAACGCGTTGATCTAATACTCATATGACCAATTAAAATGGACTACATTACCACACTCTGACAATGGTTATTGCTAGTCTTTTGATCACTGATTAGTCATTCCAAATGAAACAAATTTATTATTCATTGAACATAGAACAAGATTTTCCAGCGGAATTTACAATCATTTCAAAAAACTTCACTTACCATTCATAGATAGACATACTGATAAATTAATAACAACATATTTAAATAAAACACCGATAAGTAAAGAGACTGGTGGAATATTATTCAATAAGGAGTCAGAAAAAACTAAGTAACTGAACAGGTATAACATTGCTTGAATATTTAATGTAGTATTTATAGCTACACTAATTATTACAAACTGTATTTTTAAATAAAGGTTACCCCACTTCTGTTCATCTGAGATGAGTGATCTTTAAAAATGGCTTTGATACAGAAACCATTGACTCACTGATTAGATCCAACTATTCAGAGTTATAAACACAGTAACCTGGTAGATGATATAAAGTAGTGAAAGTTGAATTGTTCAATCAATTGATTCCTGATGTATGATCAATTATATATGGAGTAATAGATTATACCTTACAAACATCTGATAGGAATCTGTCGAAAAAATTGTTTAAACAAACAAAACTTGCATAAATTATTCAACTATCTACTGTTCTATTTCTAAAGCTAAGTGAACATCCTAATGAAAAAGCTGAATGCAATAAAACAAAAATCAAACTATTCTGAACAGTATTATAACGCTTCATAAATAAACTATACTACTTATAAGTAGCTTGGAGTATTCACCATACATTTTGAAATCATCAAAAGATTAACCCCATAGGTTTCATCACATACGATCATAAAATAATATTGAATTCAGATCCCACTATGTTTAAGTTCATTTCATGTTACCTAAGCCTTATAGCCTTAAACTATTATAATAAACTAGTTGGATTGCGTAGTCACATGGGTACCTGTTATCATTATTATTATTTGCCCCTTGGATTCCTAATAGAACATAGGGATTCAGTACCACGTCTCCATTACACTCTCTTCTCTGAAATCTCTTCAACCTGCCACCACGACTACCCACAACCTCTCATTTCTTCCTCACACCATCTCCTCCATGTCACCTTCACCTCAGACAACCAACTCATCGCTTCCCATCCAGGTTCCACTCGAGCAACTGACCTGGCGCGTCATGTCCCCAGTCAGCTTTCTCAGTGTGTGCCCAATCCAATCCATCTCCACTTCCTTTCACTGCATATTCCTTCAGCGATAGGTTCTCGGTTGGTTCGTTCCCAGCCAGCCAGCCAGCCAGCCAGCCAGCCAGCCAGCCAGCCAGCCAGCCAGCCAGCCAGCCAGCCAGCCAGCCAGCCAGCCAGCCAGCCAGCCAGCCAGCCAGCCAGCCAGCCAGCCAGCCAGCCAGCCAGCCAGCCAGCCAGCCAGCCAGCCAGCCAGCCAGCCAGCCAGCCAGCCAGCCAGCCAGCCAGCCAGCCAGCCAGCCAGCCAGCCAGCCAGCCAGCCAGCCAGCCAGCCAGCCAGCCAGCCAGCCAGCCAGCCAGCCAGCCAGCCAGCCAGCCAGCTAGCCAGCCAGCCAGCAAGCCAGAGTTCCTTGTTGATTATTCTTTCTGACCCACTGATCTCATCTTCACTAACGAGCCAGCGTAGGCAGTCGTTGATGAATGTCTGTATTTTGTTGGAAATGCTTTTCGTAACGCGCCAAATTTCTCAACCATATAGAAGCACTGACTTGACTGGATTGGTGTTAAAAATCTGTATGTTGTTCACGCTTTATGCTGAGTGCAGAAGATCTCCACACTGTTTTCAGGTTGATGAACGCCTATCTTGCTTTTCCGATCCCATACGCATATAGCTGTAAACAGATTACTTATATTGACATTTGAAGAAGTGTTCGATGTTAGTATATCAGCACATGATTTGTCGTCGTTGAAACTACTCAATGCTACCTCATCATCTACATTAGTATCAACATTAATTAAACACATTTTCGGTGTTCGTGAGTGGATTGACAAATGTAATATACGTGGTCTACAGTTATATGTTAGTAAACACGCAGCTGTTGAGGCATGGAGGCAAGCGGTTGAAATCAGTCTCAGTCTACTAACTAACCATCCATATTATGGAAATAAAGTACAAAAGTCTAATTAGTTAGTACCATTTGTATCCAGTTATCTACATTCAGAATTGATAAGTCTCATACGTGAAACAATTTTACAATAAACATAGATATTGCTGAGTTGTTGATCATAAAGTCTATAGTGTACAGTGAAATCTATTACTGATATAAGGTGGTTAACAAAGCATAAGGATCGATTGCTAACAATGGAGTATTTTCTATTTTATTGCTTTGGGCACTTCACTCTTTAGGAATTGTCCTTATGCGAACTTGTCAGACACACAGGACAATCACTAATTATTCGTAACCGTCATATACCCATGAATACGAAACCATAGAAGAACACAATAGCATAGTCGGATGGAATAGTATATTTGCGAGGTCGTACCAAAATACTGATATGTTCCAACAAGCTGGCTACATGGTCGATTACAAGCAGTGCAACATAACACGACAGCGTGCCAAATAGCGTGAATGCTTGACCATGTTCCTTCAGCTTAGCAAGTTCGATAAAACTATGAAGATCAGTATCAATGTTGAATCTCATCGAACCCTAGGCTATTGATTCTGGAGACATATATGACGCTACAACTTCCAACCAGTGGTGAACACATTCGACCTCGGCACCAGCTGCCAAGGTTTTGGCAACCACACACACACACACAAACACAATAAGTGTGACTTATTGCTTACTGTACATATGTCCACAAGATTGCTCAATACGGTGCTGCGTTACTAGCTCTCCTCAGTCCTAGCTAGTAAGGAAATAGTTCTCAACTCAATCACAATCATTTAAATTGCATGACATATATTCTTTTATAATCCAGAGAAAAATGCACTAGTAAGCAACTCATTTAAACAGATATAGGCTTACAGAAATGGGGTTAACATGTGAGGGGTAGGACATGAATAGAAAACTGATTAAAACCACTATCCAGTATTTTAGCGCAGAAGCACAATTCTAAACGCAGCAATGTATATATACAGTTAACTAGTGAACAAACGGCGGGAAAAGGCCACAATAATAAAACAAAGAGAATAAACAATAACTAGTAACTTGAAATTTCAATAAACAAAACTCAAAGAGTTTACTGATATGATTAAAACTAGTTTAATATGAAGTCAGGTTTGATTATTCAACCAAATATCAATTAGTATAATGCTAAGATGAGTGTTAATTTAATCCACTACTTTCGCATTTACAAATTCAAACAGGTTACATTCTAAAGATAATCGTAAACAAACTTTACGCCTTATCTACAAGTTGTAATATGAATGTATTTGCAGATTTCTGTTCGAATTAACAGTATACATTTGAAGATATTGAATTGATCAACATGTTGTAATTGATATCTGAAGAGTAGATTACATATTCATTGGGACATTGATTAGCCGATCTAAGTGTATTACAACCATCAGATTGGGATAAATTTTATAGCTTGATTTTATTTTCATCTGAAAACAATGAATATTATATAGGCAACTATGAACATACTGAATCATATGATCAAATTTATCTTGAGAAAATTTTAGATGATTTCAAATTGTTTTATATGTTAAAAGGGTAGCATTTTATATTCATCCATCTAATTGGTTCTGTATAAAAGCTTAGATTTGAAATATTCGCTTTCAAATTCAGTCTGATGAACACCTTTCAACTTAAATATCATCATTATCATTATCAACATAGGACCAGGCATTACTCCGTAACGGTCCCACTTGCCACACCTCATATCAGCACATCAAGTGAAAAGGTAGTGAGGTGAAGGATGAAGATAAGTGAATGCAGTCAAAAGAAATATAAAGTACGAGAAGAAAGGAAAGATGATGAGGATAATGTGTGTATACATCTGCACCACTGACTTCGGTTCTGAGCCATATCACCTAGGGTCTCCAACCACTGGTTCCTCTTGTCCCCCCACCGACCCCAACCACCTAGTCTGCATCACCCCACATGGCTTAAACCAACAGTCAGAGACTTCATACATTGGTGCCATGTTTTAGTCTCGCCACCTCGGGCCTTTTTCTAGCCTGGACCCACCTCAGCCAACATTGTGTGACGAGTCAGACGGTGACTAGGCATACGTAGTACGTGTTCCAACCATTTCAGTCGATGAAGGTTCACAACCTCGTCAACTGACTTACCTCTTCTCCTTAAAACTCTACACCTAACTTCTGCATTACTCACATGGTGACACCACGGAGTACGTCCTGTACTACGAAGGCAACTTTGGTCAAACACCTGAAGCCTTTTTGTATCCTCCACTTTCAATGGCCATGTTTCACAGCCATACAGTAAAACAGAGCGGACTGCTGTGCAGTACACGCGACCCTTAATAGACAAACGATATCACAGCGGCGCCATAGGTGGCGCAAATTGGCAAAAGCCAATCGAGCCTTTTGTATCTGTGCAGAAATCTCATCGGCAACTAACCCATCGGGGTTGATCCTACTTCCCAGGTAAGTGAAGTGGTCAACACACTCAACCACTTCACTCTCTATTGTTAGCCGCGGTACCGCTGAAGACCAGTCCTGGAGCTAAAATTTGCATTTGGGTGGTGAAAATGGCATCCCAAACATTCTCAAATTCCCACTCAAAGTGTTCAGAAGACTCTACATCTTGTCAGCGTCTTCACCTAACAGGACTATGCCATCTGCATATTCTAGATCTAAAGAAAATTCACCTGTGATCGGGTCAACGTTTGTGTAATTGAACATAAATATGAAATGCAACAGATAGTTGCTATTAAAACCTCTATGCTACACAAGTAAGTCTTATTTTATTCTTAAGTTATACGCTATAAAAAAGTTATTTAGGTGACTATTATTGTTGTTTTAATAGTATACAAATTTTCTCAATACTTTCATATTACTCAGTATTCCTTTTTTACTCATTAGTACAGGTTCACGATGCCTTTCATGAATGTATGTCTCCGTCGATTTTCATCATCATCCTATGAACACTGAAAAAATTTCTGGTCAAAGTTAATCGATAAGTGTACAGAGTTGAATGAAATGATATTACGCAACACAAGAAATAATCTTCAAAGACAAATAAATTCAAAGAAATATACATTGAATAGTAAGATTTCATATTTGATAAAAAAATAATAATATACAATTTAATAATTCCCATTGTAAAATCAGGAACAAGATATTCGGGGGATTTATTTTCAAGCTGTACATTCGTATACAAATGATATTTGAGAAGTTATATCCTGTGAGGAAAACTTAACACTGATGAAGACATATCCTTTTTAAAAAGCACACATGTTGAAAACGGTTACCTATGCCGTTTTATTCATCCACTCTGTCTCAAAGAAAAGATTGTTTATGAGCCTAGAATTTAAATGTGACCTGGCATCAAATGAACTGAAGAATCGTCTATGCACATCATTCAATAGAACTTTATTCAGTTGACTTTTACCAACCGTAAACTATTCTCCACCTGTGTTAAAGATAAGCTTTCTCGTTTGTTCACCTCTATGTGCATATACCACTTCACCTGTTCTTGTGGAGCAAGCTACATTGGTTGTAATCAGAGAATGCTTTCTACACATATACGAGAACATGTTCCTGCTTGGTTTTATAAAGGTGAAAGAGAAAGTCTGTTAGAAGTTCGATTGTGGAATATTTGATTGATTTCCATCACTCAACAAATCCAGACAATGACTTCAAAACTAGTTATCATATTCACCCAAATCTCCCACATTTTCTTCGTTTTCAACTCCTTAAAACACCGAAGGCTTTAGCTATTCATGAACTAAAACCTGATTTGTGTGTACTGTCACTGTTTGTACCATGTCCATAACATTTTCTAAACCCATTAGCAACCCCCCCCCCTTTGTTAATTTAACCTTTGTATAATGGTTATTATAACTGCCTTTAATTTAATTAATTTCCGGTGTTATTTCATATAATTGCCTAAAGTGCCTTATTAGTAAACACTGATTTCATCTAGACCAACTTGTCGAGTCATATTACATAATATTAATGATGGATCGTGGCTAGCAGTGGAATCCAGGATGCGCATTTCGTACTATTTAAGACCCGTCAGTTGGATGTACCTGCTTCGCAGTGAGTGATATTGTTCCCACGATGGTATCATATAAAACAATTATACTATTCCATAATACTTAATTGATTTGCCACTTCCATCAATCTTTTCATCCCCTTCTCAGTGATATACCTTCTATGAACAATCCAATATATTACGTAACCTAATTTCTCATGATTCATACTTTAATTGTTATCATAATCACAAATACCTATGACATCATCTACTCTATTATTATTGTCATCATTATTGTATAGTGTTTAGTTTTCCTCACGGGATATAATTTTTGAAAAATATCATATATGTATGCGAATGTACAAGTTGAAAATAAACTCGTTGAAAAGAGTCTCTTCGCTGAAACTCTTGTTCTTGATGTTAGAATAGGAAGTATAAAACAGTTAATACCTTGAGATGATGTTTGGCTTTACGAATCATAGTGAAATATCATGATATGTTTATGACTCAGAGGATAATATTCTCTGTAATGACTGTCCATTTAAATAGGTTTAAAGTCATTGTCTAGGTTTGTTGAGTAATGGAAATCAATCAAATATTCTACAATTGAACTTCTAACAGACTTTCTCTTTCACCTTTATAAAACCAAGCAGGAACATGTTCTCGTATATGTGTAGAAAGCATTCTCTGATTAACAACCGATGTAGCTTGCTCCACAAGAACAGGTGAAGTGGTATATGCACATAGAGGTGAACAAACGAGAAAGCTTATCTTTAACACAGGTGGAGAATAGTTTACGGTTGGTAAAAGTCAACTGAAGTCTTGTTGTGAATAAAGTTCTATTGAATGATGTGCATAGATGATTCTTCAGTTCATTTGATGCCAGGTCACATTTAAATTCTAGGCTCATGAACAATCTTTTCTTTGAGACAGAGTGGATGACCGATTTAGTAATTCTTTCATGTTTTTATGAATAAAACGTCATAGGTAACCGTTTTCAACATGTGTGATCTTTAAAAGCGATATCTCTTCATCAATACAATCGTCACTACAGATATTTCTTATTCGATAGCAGAGAGAGTGAATAAGATTTCCTTTTCTGTTGATAGGCACCCAACTATAAAAATTAGTTACTTGTTTGTTTCATGTTGCTCTTCTGTAGATGGATCTTTTGAGGTATCTATTCCGATGTCAGGTGAGAAGCACATGAAGAAAAGAAATAGTTCATTCTAATTCTTTCTCTATGATAAACTTGAGGGCTTGATGACATTCATTGAATGTTCGAAGGACACCGTCTAGATCAACATTTTTGTTACAGATAACAAACGTGTCATCCATATATCATATATAAAAGTCAAAGCCATCAACAGTTTGACAAAGTTGTGAATTCTCTAACTTTAACATGACAAAGTCTGCTAATAATGGTCCCCATGGAGACTCCATTGCAATTCCATCTTTCTGTCTATAGATTTCATTGTTGAAACTAAATTGGACATTAAGTGTGCATCCTAACAAAAGCTCTTTCAAGCAGCTAGTTAGTAGTTTTACGTCTAAATTCTATGCATCAATATAGTCATATATATAACAGACAGTCTTGGTGAGTGGCACACTCATGAACAATGAAGTAATGTCTAATTAAAACGTCATCTTGTCTAAAGTGTCAAAGTCCACAATGCCCTCAACAAACTGAAATGTATCATGGATAGAAAACTCGACACTTGCCTTCTAACAGGTTCCCGAATTTCAGTCAACCATTGAGCAGTTCGGTGATAAGGAGAATTAGCCATATCCCCCCCTTCTGAGTTATATACTTTCTATGAACGATTCCATACATTATACAATCTACTTTGTTATTATTCACATTTTAATTGTTATCATAATCACAAATACCTATGTCATCACTTGCTCTATTCTCATTGTCATCATCATCATATAGTGTATAGTTTTCCATACGAATACACAAGTTGAAAATAAATTCGTTGAGAAGAGTCTCTTCGCTAAATATCCTGTTCTTGATGTTACAATGGGAATTATAACAGTCAATACCTTGAGGTGATGTTTGGTTTTGCAAATCATAATGAAATCTTATGATATGTTTATGACCCAGACGATTATATCCTCTGAAATGACTATTCATTTAAATTTTATTATGCTATAATGGTCTGTTGTAATGTCAGGGTTGAAAGTAATTGTTGTCCTATTGGAAATAACCTAAATCGTGTCTTTTGTTTAAGGTTGAAGTCATGTTGGTGACCAGTTAACAGTCGGGTTCGGTTACCTTACTAGAAAAAAACAGCTGTGCAGCGCTCCTAGATTTTCAATGGTTCCCCAACTGTTGCCAGTCGATGATGAATACTACTTATAAATTAAAATCCCCATTCATCTCAAATATATATATATATATATATATATATATATATATATATATATATATATATATATATATATATATAATGTCCCTTGGATTCCTAATGGAACATAGGGATTCATCAGCACGTCTCCATTACACTCTCTTCTCTGAAATCTTTTCAACCTGCCACCACGACTGCCCACAACCTCTCATTTCTTCCTCACACCATCTCCTCCATGTCACCTTCACCTCAGACAACCAACTCATCGCTTCCCATCCAGGTTCAAATCGAGCAACTGACCTGGTGCGTCATGTCCCCAGTCAGCTTTCTCAGTGTGTGCCCAATCCATCTCGGCTTCCTTCCAGTGCATATTTGTTCAGTGATAGCTTCTTGGTTGGTTCGTCACCAGCCAGAGTTGTTGCTTATTCTTTCTGGCTTTCTGGCGTATTATTTCTCTGCAATCTCTTGAACCTGCCACCACGACTGCCCACAACCTCTCATTTCTTCCTCACACCATCTCCTCCATGTCACCTTCACCTCGAACGCCTAACTCGTCGCTTCCCATTCAGGTTCCACTCGATGGCCTGGCCTGGCGCATGATGTCTCCGAATCGTCTTCTCAGTGCATGCCCAATCCATCTCCACTTCCTTCCAGTGCATATTTGTTCAGAGATAGGTTCTTGATTGGTTCGTTCCCAGCCAGCCAGCCAGCCAGCCAGCCAGCCAGCCAGCCAGCCAGCCAGCCAGCCAGCCAGCCAGCCAGCCAGCCAGCCAGCCAGCCAGCCAGCCAGCCAGCCAGCCAGCCAGCCAGCCAGCCAGCCAGCCAGCCAGCCAGCCAGCCAGCCAGCAAGCCAGAGTTCCTTGTTGATTATTCTTTCTGACCCACTGATCTCATCTTCACTAAGAGATTACGGGCTACAGCGATTTAAAAAGGCTTCAATGATTTGGTCCAATGTTGGAGACTTTCTTCATGTAAAGTAAGGCAATCAATTAGTTGGTTTCCGAGAATGAATTCCTGATTGACGACGAATTAGGTGAACTTCTCATGGTGAAACTGTATGGATAACCGTTCTCCTGGAAAGGTTATCACATAGTCTTCTTCTTTTCTCTGAAACGTTGATGTACTACAGTATGTCTTCGCTCTCTTGAACAATATTTTTATGCAGATGTATTCGTATTCTATTTGCTTGTTGTTATTGTAGTTCAGGATCTGATTCGTATAAGTTGGTTTTCTGTATAAAATAAACTGCAGAAACTGCTAAAAACACTCTATCGGATACAGCCGTCGCCATCTTCGTATCCATCTACATGAATATCGACTGGCAAAAAAGCATCATGATATATGTTCGCTCATATCAATGCATACAGACTGCTGTGGACATGAAGTTGACTGTGAAAATCCTGGATAGAGGAAATACAAAGAATCTCAGAGAATGCTTAAAAGCTTTGTATTCAAGTCAGTCAGTGATCAACAGACATATTCACGTTGACCCAATCTACCAGGTGATAGGAAACAATATGAAGATCGAAGTTCACATCAGTAAGACAACCAATCCAATTTAATATGGAGACAATGACAAGACATTGGTAGAAACAACTGATCATACACAAAGCCATCAGGATAATCTACTAAGATACTTGTGGATAAAATCCTATAACTAACCCATTTCTTTGTGCTAGTGATGATGTTGTTTAGAATGGCAATGAAATCTCTATGATTGAATCATTCAGCACAGAGAACACAATGAGATCGGTAACTTACTTTGTTTAGTATACAGTATTTATTTACTGATCTATTGGGGTATAAAAAAGACCTATGTTTTGAGTAAAGCAAAGTTAAGTTGAGAATCAAACAAATTTGTTACCAAGATAATCAGATTTAATACTTAAGTTTACACTAAACGAACAAGACAACTTTCAGAATGTAAAAAACAAACAAAACAAACTTACGTTGAACATGGTATAGGTGAAGAAACAGGTTCTATGATAGAATAATCAATTGGTAATTCAACAGATGATGTAGGACTAGGCAATGAATCAATATTTGAATCAAAATTATTCTCAGATATAACTAAAATATTTGTACAAAAAGATTTTGAAGATTTTTGTGGTGAACATCTATTCGATGATTTATACAAAGTATCAGTAGATGAATAAATATTCAATTGTTTTTGAAGTGATAATAATTGTTTATTCAACTTTTTCATTTCATTGTTAGATTCTAACAGTTTAACTTCTTTAGTAGATAGAAGTTCACGTAATGTACTCACTTCATTACGATATTCCTAATGTATGGAAATAATTAATAAAATTATCGGTTAAATAAGATAAACAAATCAAGTTTATATAACAAATAACTCTTTAATAAACTGAATTTTGAAGGAGGTGTGGGGATTTGGAAATATTTCAAGTTATTATTATTATTATCGTAGACTGACATCAGTTGGGGGAACAAAGGAAACTTGGGAGGACTGGATAGCTGTTTCGTCCTAGCACGAGACTCCCCAGCAGTGCGCACGCATGACTCCGCCAGCTGTCGAACTCGCGACCTTCACGTTCCATGGCCATCACGCCACCATTGGTCCATTTTCGTGAGGACAGTTACTCAACAATGACATTGGATGGCGATTGCGCTATATCGTGAGCTAGCAGAAGTTGGAAATATGGACCACTGTATTCTTACCCAGTGGTTCAATGGTGACGTGCTGGCCACGGAACCTGAAGGTTGCGAGTTCGACCCCTGGTGGGGTTGTGCGTGCGCAATGCACAGGAGTCTCGTGCTAGGACGAAATAACTATGCAGTGCTCCCAGGTTTCCTTTGTTCCTTCAACCGATGTCAGTCTACGATGAATAGCAACTTTGGATTTAATAAATAAACGAAGAATAATATTATAGGAGTACAACTTGAGTACTGTGGTCGATTGTAATTCCATTTTAGTGTGTTTATTAGAAATAGCATACAGTGAAACAGTATCATTTCAAAACAAAGTAAATAAACAAACTGAAGGTAATGCCATGGGATCATCAATATCCCCTATAATCGCAGACATATTTATTGATAATTAGGAACAGATAGCCCTTCAAAGATATGGTCCCGATATGTAGATGATACGTTTACAGTACTGGAATCGGAACACATCAATAGGTTCCTGACACATATACATTCAGTAGTAAACGTAATCCAATTTACCTGTAACTTAGGAAGTGAAGAAGGTGAGCTAGCAATGTTGGATTGCAGGATTAAACGAACACTAGATGGAAGTTTAGAGGCTAGTGTCTATAGGAAACCTACCCATTCGAATCGTTACTTAGACTTATAATCCTCCCACCCCATTTCAGTTAAGGTAGGCCTAGTTAAATGCTTAAGTGATAGAGCGAAAAAGCTTACTAGTGGATGGGAAAATCTGCGACAAGAAATTAGATACATCAGGAATACCCCACGTCTCAATAATTACCTACGGAAATTTATGAATAAATTCATAAGAAATCGAAAGAAAAATATTGGCAGTAGTAGTAATAATAATAGTAATACAGGTGTTATTAATAATGATTCCACTACTAATGGTAATAATGGTGACAGGGTCAAGAGAGAATTCAAAGCCTGCACTGTGTTACCACACAAGGAAGGTAACTCAGAAACACTATAAAGCATTCTCAATAAGGCTGGCTGGAATTAAAGTGGCATTCAAACCAACAAACTTGCTTAGAAACAAGCTATGTAGGTTAAAAGATCCTATCGATGTAATTCAGCAAAATAATCTGGTTTACCAGATCCCTTGCAATGATTGCGAGGTCAAGTACATAGGTCAAAGCAGTCGACCAGGGTTGATTAGAATAAGAGAGCACAAAAACTTTGCAAAATCAAGATTAGATAAGTAATCTAGAGAAAAGCTCGCCTATAGCTCTGCATGCAATTACACACAATCACACAGTAGAGTGAGATAGAACGACAGCGTAAACAACTGAGTTGGGTAGAGGGAGAGATTGATAACTGATCTTTGTTTATCAAATCAACACCAAATACATGCAGCAATAGAAATGATTCTGCATCTGTCCCAGATATATAGAAAATTCTGCTACCTTTGTCATCACAGAGGAGAGAAAATTAGGAAGTTGTGGAGTTACTTGATATGAATATGGACAATAAATTATGTACAAAAAATTATCCAGTAAATGATACTATCCCTTCACTGTGTAACATAAACAGACTAAAATGGAAACAAAAATATCATTTTAAATAGCTTTTCTTCTCAGCTTCTACAGTCGTATATCCGTATTCATCTTTCAAGGAAGTAAAGGTATATTAACAGGTGTCCTGACAACAACTGATGTCAGTTTGCAATGAATACTAACCTGAAGTCAATAAATAAATCCCCACAAACCTTCAAATCGAATAAATCTAGCACTCTTTAGTTACTGTCTTTGAGAGGGGATTGTACAAGTTCTAATGTGACCGTTGGGGTAAACCATATCGGACATGACGACAGTTACTCAATGACGACATTGAATGAGGTCACGGTATATCGCAGGAAATGTGAACCATTAGATTTTAGCCCATTGGTTCGATGATAATGTGCTGTTCGTGGAACCTGAAAATCCTGGATCCGATCCCTGACAAGATCATAGGTGCGCATGGTTAAGGAGTCTCATACTAGGATGAAGCAGTGCTCCCAATTTTTTTCAATGTTTCTCCAATTGGCATCAGTTCATGGTGAATAACAACATGAAAACAGTGGAAGTTTATTACCAGTTTATTATCAATAACATATACTTCAAAAACTTTTTTCATCACGAAAAGGCATATACAACTATTATTATTATTATTTGTCCTTTGGGTTCCTAGTGGAACATAGGGATCCAGTAGCACTTCACCATATCACTTTGTTCTCTTCAGTCTCTCCAACCTGACTCCACGACTGTTCAAAAGCTTTCATTTCTTCCTCATGCGATTATAATCTTAAACATTATTCCTAGAATACAGTTCATAATGATGATAACATAATGCATCATGTCACTCTCAATGATTTTTCTGAACACACTAAGGATTATATACATATTTTTTTGAAATATCCTCTTGTAGTGATTGAATCAGATATGGCGCTCAACTTCTTCCAGGATATTCGTAACAACTTTGGTCTAGATGTTTATAGTCTGGTATTCATAGCGATTCGATTATGAATTTCACGTGATAAAACAGTGAATACCGACCGAATAGAGAACAAAATAAACAGAGTCGATACGGTTATGAGTGTGTTTGTAAGTAAATAAAGCTGAATGGAAAGAATTATTTAAAAGATTAGATTAAAGAGAATTATTTTACGTGAATCAGGAATTGGTACATAAAAGGAAGCTGAAATGATAGAAGAAAATTATGTGGGAAGATATATACATTGAAAAAAAACCGTTCCTTCCCTTATTATCATGTAATTCTAACCATACTGTACATGGATAAGCTTGAGTGTTATTATAAACAGCAGCAATCATTGCATCAAATAGTTAAGCAAGGTCTTAAAACAATACACCTAGGGATAAATATCATGTGCTTACATAAAGTACTGCTACATGATATACTTATGGATGAACGAAGTAAAATTTCACTCTTTATTTATCTCATTCATCAACAAAGGATAAGGTATAACTCCGTTACGGTCCAAGTCATTGTATATCATATCAGTACGTCAAGTAACAAAGTACTAAGACGATGATATGGAGAAGAATCTAGTAGTGAAGGATAATGACTAGTAGAGGAATCTGGGATGCTCATTTCATTCATCTAGATGCACCTGCCTACCGGTGAGTGATGTCATTCCCAACAAGACTTGAACCCGGTGCCGATCACTTCAAACCTCAGCAGGTAACGGGCATAGTGTTATCACATCCAAGTGCTTCACAAGAAACCATATACCAATAGACACCGATCAATTCAGTCCAATCAACAACGGGATAATACTAGTGACAAAACTAATTGATAAGAATCGGTTAAATAGTATGAAGGAGAAATATGATAATACTCAATTCACTATGACGATTAAGATCAGGATAATGCATAAATAAATCTATCCCACTGAAATCGTTTCTAAGCCATGTTAACGACAGTCTCCAACCACTAGTTTCTGCTGCCAAGTGGAGTTTAAACAGCTCAGCTATCGGTCGAAAATTTCTCCCACTGGTGTTTAATTTGCAGCTTTCTAGAGTCTTTTTTGCACATTATGAAAATTATTCATTTTTCAAAATAAACAATAAGACTAATCAAATTTTGAGGGAGTTGTGGGGATTTGGAAATATTTCAAGTTATTATTTTTATCGTAGACTGACATCAGTTGGAGGAACAAAGGAAACCTGGGAGCACTGGACAGCTGTTTCGTCCTAGTATGGGACCCCTCAGCAGTGCGCACCCACGACCTCGCACCACCATGGATCGAAACCGCGACCTTCAGGTTCCGCGGCCAGCAAGTTACCATTGAGCCACTGGGTCAGAATGCTCCAATGCTCCATATTTCCAACTTCTGTTAGCTCACGATATAGCGCAACCGCCATCCAATGTGGACTGGTGGAGTCAAAAAAACATTGGATGGCGGTTGTGCTATATCGTGAGCTAACAGAAGTTGGAAATATGGAGCATTGGAGCATTCTGACCCAGTGGCTCAATGGTAACTTGCTGGCCGCGGAACCTGAAGGTCGCGGTTTCGATCCATGGTGGTGCGAGGTCGTGGGTGTTCCTTCAACTGATGTCAGTCTACGATGAAAAGCAACTTGAAATAAGACTAATCGTTTAAATGAAAAATGATTATAAAATTGTTTATCCCATCTGTTAACGCTTGGGCACGCGACAATACAGTAAATAAATGAGACCGTTTATGAATATTATAGAAACACTAAAGCATATTTTACTTTTAATTCAAGTTGTGCTGCATGTTCTGCTTCACGACTAGATCCTAAAACAAACTCAAAACTTCGCATAGCTTCATGTTCATGATCAACCTAAAAGGTAACAATAAAGGTAGAAATATCACAAAGTTATTCATAATCTTGACCAAAACAATGAAGATGTATGAGAGTAAAAAGTGACTAACAAATTAAAAAGAAATATGATTGAATCAGAAGATCGTAATGTGGTAGAATCAAATTTTTCTGCAGTCCATGAAATGATCAAAGAAATCTCAGATTTAGGTGTTTGCTGGCAAAAAATGAGATCTACAACAACAGCGATAAAGTTACGACGATTATATCTGAAGAAACTAATGATTTAGAGGTTAAATAATTCAGATCAATTAGAAGGGCCTGTAAATTGATATTCTTAACGTAAGATATAGCTACAGACGTTTATTTATAAGGAACTAAGGCATAAAACAGTAAAACATCAGCGCTGGCGATTAGAAGTGTACATTCCTTTCACTATTTCATCCCTTAAACGGTAATTTGAATTCAATGAGAACAAAATGTTTGAGTTTAAGAAGTTAGAGCTATATTAATTTTAGTTGGTTGTGGCTAGCAAAAGAATCCAAGATGCGCCTTTTGTCCTACTTGGGACTCATCAGTTGAATATACCTGCAATTCAGTGAGTAATGCTGTGCCTACTAAGACTCGAACCTCGTATACATCACTGCCTGAATGTTAATTATGTTGATTTTGATTGGCTGTGACTAGCAGAGGTGTCCAGGATGAGCGTTTCGTTCTATTTAGTACTCCTCAGCTGGATGTGCCTGCATCCCTTTGTACATTCAGGCAATATCGAGGCATCTGCATAGGAGCTCATATTTTAATAGAGGTCTAGCAATTCAATCCAATAAAACAACGCAGAATTACAAGCTTATCAATAAATGGTAAGTTAGATCTATAGTCTAGCACTCATTGAGATAACATAACAATCATTTGATCTCTACCAGCGATTACCTTAACTTCAGGTAATAAAAGTCCAGAATAATTCAATGAAACATTGATTTCTGCTTATTTTAACAACTGCCTACTTGAGTATAATGAAGTAAATATTTACTGGTTCCACAACAATGAGTCATTCCAATTCAGTACGATCTTTCGATTCTACTAAAAAAACCGTACAATATGTCCTCGAAATATATTAAATACAGTTTTATCTCTTCCTCCTAGAGAATTAGATAAAGTTAAAGGTAGAAGTACACTATTTCTATCAAAAGACAAATAAAAACCCTTCAAATAATAGCATAGTATTATTATAAATCCTATCATTCAAACTGATAACTGAAGGATTTCATAAAAAGGAATATAGGACATCTATATTTTATTTCACATAAACATGGTATATAAATCCCATAGAATTATCCACAAATATCTTCCTTTTAATGCATAGACAAATTCATAGGTGGTTCCCTATCATAATCTATAACAACAAACAAAGTGTTGTCGACAATTTGTTTTGATACTTATTATTTCCTATTCTTAAACAGGACTGAGTTGTTCAACTTCTGTTAGCAGATTAGCTCCTATATGGACACCTTAAATACTGTCGGATATTCATGATATTATATTCATCTTAGATATAGGTATATCCAACTGATGAGTTTCAAATAGGACGAAACATGTATTCTGAGTTCCACTGCTAGTTACCAAGATGAATATAACTTATGAATTCATCAGTAAAAAAAAATGGACACTCATACTGACTAAGAGTAATTAATCGGAAGTATTTTGAGAAAACAGGATTCTCTAAAGGATACATATTCAAATCAAATGAACATGAATGCAATAACAGACAACATAAAAAGTAAACAATAGGAAATATTTATATTGGCATTCATTATAGCTTGATATCACTTGGAAAACTGGTCCACATTGGATACCTACTTGAAATCATTAAAATACCCATAAACCTCCAGAATGAATTTATATCTACTGCTCATTAGTGACATGCTTCGAGATGAGATTTCCTAAAGTTCTATTGATAGGTCATGACCAACAAAGTAAATAAGGTCTAACATGAAGATAGATATTCAACAAAGTCATTGGATGAAGGTCGTACTATAATAGCAAACTGACAGAAGTAGCAAAATGTAGACTGTTGAATTCTAACCTAATGGCAATGCGCTTGTTGTGGAACCTACAGATCCTCAGTTCGATCCCTTAGGGGGTCGTGGGTGGCTATTGCTAAAGAGTTTCATAGCAAGACAAAACAGCTATTCAGTAATTTCAAGTTTTCAATGGTTAGTTCGTAGTGAATATCAAAGGTGAAAAGCGAATATTCTCTAAAGAAAAAATAAAAGTAACATAAAACCCTTCATAAGTACCTGTTTTCGAAGATCAGTCAGTTCTCTTTCAGCTTCATATAATTTTGCTCTTAATTGATTGACTTCAAGATTACTTATAGTATATTGTTGTTGAAATGAATTTCCTTGACGTTCTAAACGATCACATAAACTTCGTGTATTTGTTAAATCTTGGCGCATTTCTTCATTATCCAATTGCAGACGTTTAATTCGTTCTTCAGAATCTGATGAAGTTCTCTTGAGTAAACTACACTTGAACCAAAAAGAATATAACAAACATAAGATAGGTTATTATCAGAAGTAGAAGAATGGAATAAGTAAAGGATTTATATTCGGTAATGATCACCAATGAGTAACGTGCCCCAGTGGCCTAAGGGATAACGCTTTGGCATTTCAAGTGATGGTTACTGGGTTTGAGTCTCAGTGAGAGCAATATCACTCACTGTAGTGCCGGTACATCCAACTGACGAGTCCCGAATAGGACAAAACACGTGTCGTGGATTTCACTGTCAGTCGCCAAGATGAATATTTAAATCTACTATATGTATCGTATATGATTAGAAGAAGAGGAGGGGAGAAGTTGGGAGAAAAAGATACTTCGGTTAAATTATATTTATTCACATGAAGAAAGATTTATGATGATAGAATATATAACTACAAAATTGTTGACTGAACTTCCACGTTATTCTTATATCTCTGAATCTCTCTACCCTAATCAGTGTTCTTTTTTATCATGATTAACCTGATGATTTGCAGGGTATTTTTAGTTTAATATACCAGTCAGAAAAATTCCACTCATATCCATTTGCATGACGAAACATTGGCAATCCCCAATGGAACTACTATAAATTAGAGCTCAGCAGACGTGAACACCAATCGACAAAGTCACAATGTCAACAATTTCATCAAGTGATTTAGCCCCTATATGCTAGAGTGCTTTTTACTGCGAAATGCTTGAGTCGAAAGTTTGTAGAAGTAGTGGTCAGTGAACAGTATTCTCATTTCAGATCAGTTGTCTAACTCTTAACCCGTATGTATATTTGAATTATTGAACGAGTCATTTCTGTCTGGTCTATCCGAAGTCTGGTAGATTTGCTCTGAATTTTGGAACTCCCTAAAGTTATCCTTTCAGTGTGTTACCGCCCGGAAACAATTAGGCATATTACAGGCAACCTATTGGTTTCAGGAAAACTAAACTAAGAATGAACTACAAGGAACTCGGGCCTGGCAACGAACCATCCAAGAACCTATCGTCCGACATACATGCAGAAGAAAGTGGAGATGGATTTGATTTAACATACACTGAGAAGATCATTCAAGGATATCACGCAGCAGGCCAGCCGTCGAGTAGAAGCCGGATGTGAAATGATGAGTTGGGCGGTCGAGGGTGATATGAAGGAAATGGTGTGAGGAAGAAATGAAAGCCTTAGGGTAGTCGTGAAGCCAGATTCAAAAGACTGGAGAGAAGAGAATGAAATGGCGATGTGCTAGTTAAGACTTATGTTCTACTAGGAACCAAAGGGACAAATAATAAATAATGAGTTCGAACGATAATCAGGGATCTGATTACTACTCATTTGAAAACTGATAACAAAAAATATCTTCCTTTATATATTTTGTAGAGTCATTTCAACTGTGATAACTATTCAGTGATATGATATATTGTATACGGTTTCCTTTTGCGCTCTTATGTGACTATAACTCATCATATATTGTTTAGTAATATTACAAAAAAATATCTCCATCGCCTTCAAATTGACCTTGGTCAGATATCAGCGTTCTATGCTTATCCTTGATATATTTATGAACCTAGTTCGAATCCACAGTTTAATCAGTGAAATAGCTACTCAGAATATTAACAGCTACAAAGTCAATCCATTAGTACAAAATTTCTAAATGATTAAGCAATTAAATTTGACAACATATATAAGTCGGCAATAAATTGAAGAAAATGAGAGTAGACAGTATAATACAAGTCTGCATTGTATTATGTAATAACTTATCATCAGCTTATTCAAATAATCAAACATCCCACTTATCTTGACGCTGACAGTTCTAGTATAGTGATAACAATGGATATAAGTAGTATATGTTGAGAGAATGGTAGGAATTATAGGGAATTACCAGTAATGGGTAAAGTTTCTGCCAAGAGCAACGCAAGAGATAACGCAGGCGTATTACAGTGGATGCTGCTGATAAGAATGTATGAAGAGTAGACCAAGAGCAAATCAAGAAAGGAAGAGAAAAGGAAACGAAAACATTTGCAAATAACTGGATTAGTGCAAAGTGTACCATATGTAATGAGTACCCTTCTAATTTCACAAAATAGACATTCTTTCAGTCGTGTTTGTCTACTGTCTCTTCACTAGGAGTTAGAACTTTTTCCGAAATTTTTTAATCCTATTTAACCTGAACGAATAAATTCACCAACAAATACCTTCGCTTAGAAGACAACTTAATTGATTGCGTCATGGTTACACACTAAAAGTGGGTAACTTCATCACACTGGTTCCAATAGAACACCTATTACTTCAGATCTTTTACTCCTAATAACCATAAATCAATTTTAAAGAAAATATTTACACAACGTTCTATAGATAGATAGAACCATAATTAAAACTTCGTATTGTGTTACTATAATGAAACTTATCCCATATGTTTGATTGTCCTTCGATTTGAAGAAGTAAAGCGTTTTGGATTTACAGTAACCCTTAACTATGTATAGTAATGATAAGCAGTGGAATCCAGGATGCGCATTTCGTCCTATTTGGGACTCGTCAGCTAGATGTACCTGCTTCCCAGTGAGTGATGTTGTTCCCACTGGGACATCCTGAATTCTACTGCTAGCCACTGCCCATCATTACTATACATAGTTCAATCAATCAATGATGGAGGAGGTGGATAGCAGTCAGAATAAACTTGAGTGTTGACAGAGTTGTGAGGGCGGTTGACACTTCCCGACTGCCCACACCCTGGAAGGCTATTTCTTCTTAAGGTACCTGAAAGAGATTTGTGTGACCGCAGAGCCCATCGGACATCTGTTTGAGGCCTGTCACACCCAGCCTTTTGAGTATGATTATTTTGATTTTTTGTATTTTTGGGGCTGGATGGTCATAAAGAAACGACAAGTGGACCAACACCGCCGGCCTGGCAGACCGTGGGGTATGGTGGAGTGTGTTATTTTTGGAGCCGACCTTTTCTAACCCCCACACCCTTCCACTGAGAAGGCAGAATCAGCATGGCACTGCTGGTCATCCAAGGGAAACACCTTACTGCTGTCACACCCCATCCAGCTAGCAGCAGTACGACTTCGCCCTCAGACCCCCATCATAGTGTAGCAATTTACACTATAACGGTGACTGCTTTTCGTCTAACCACTATCCAACAGACCTTTCTGGTATGGTAGGACCTCGAGGGAACAAGCGTTCCACTAACATAGCTCGTTGGGTCATTGTGATATGCAAGCCCGACCACCACGTCAAGGTAGCAGCTATCGGTCGGGACTTTACACAGTTAAAAGACAGTCTCTGTTGGCATATGGGCTCCTATGCGGATGCCTCGATATTGCCTGTCTATACATAGTTAAAAGACAGGCAATATCGAGGCATCCACATAGGAGCCCTTATGGCAACAGAGACTGATCAATTCGTTCGAATTAACGACGGTGTCATACAAGCAATAACACTAACCCTTAACTATAATAAAAGTATGTGAATCACTCGGAACATCACCAGGAATACGGCAAGCATATCAAAGAATTCACTCCATATTTTGATAACTGATGTGATCTGAAATCAAACTAACGTGATGTGATTCTGAATTGAAAAAAAAGAACATGCCTACAAATATTAGTTAAGTATACTAATTTATATCCCTTGACTCAGTAACTAGTAAGAGAGAGAGTCAACAAACGATAAAAAATGAGTATGTTAAATTTAATCTTTGTCTGATGATGAATGTAAAGGAAGTGGTGTCTATATACTGAAAGACAAAATCAAAGTAGCATCTTGCTTAAAAGTACGTCGGTTCAATTTGCCATACTTCACAGCAGAAAGTAAGGAATAGTTGGATGCAAAAAGACTGATATTGAAGTAGAAAAAAGTATGTGAAGGATGAATATTTGTACTGTAGTGATCGATTTCAGGTCATGTCAGAATCCTCAAACATGGTCGTCATGGTCCTAACCACGCAGTCTACATCTACCCTACACGACTAAGACCAACAGTTAGAGACTTCATGGACTGGTACCACTTCCTTGTCTGGTTGCCCTGAGCCTAATTTGAACCCAATTCTACTTCCGCTAATATTGTAGGTCAATACAGGTGACAGTAGTTCAGCATGTACAACACATGTACGACTCATCCCAATCGATGAAGGTTCGCTACCTCATCGAGTGACCTGCTTGCCCTGTCTAGTATCGTACACCTAACTTCAAAATTGCTCACACTTTGATCGCATCATATATAGGCAATGGAACTAAGGCACATGTGTTCGAAAACCTGCAGTCTTTAAATCTACTTTACACGGCCATGTCTCACAGCGGTGCAGTATACTTGTCTTTGATACATAGTCGAATATCTCATTAGTTGGTACCAGAGATGATGCATGTTGGCAAATGCTAAACGGATCTTCTGTATCCAAGTTGAGATTTTGTCAGTAACTACCCCATTCGCGCTGATTTGACTCTCCAAGTAAGTGAAGTAGTCGACATATTCCATCAATTAATTCGCTATCATTTAACTGGGAGTGGTTTCAGACCACTTTCTTACATTTATCAGGTACGAAACGCGTGCTAAATATATATTCAGATTTCTGGTCAATGAGTTTAGAAGACCCTACATTTTCTCGCATCTCTGCTTAACAGGACAACGTTAACTGAATACTTCAAGTCAACCCAATGTGCTCCAGGAAGTAATTCAACCCCTTTCAGGTCAGATGTACCTAACTTTATTTCCATCTGTAGCGAAGTCAAACAGGAACGATGACAGTGGACATCCGTGGTGGACGCTACTAGTTTTCGTTAATTCGGATGACAACTCTCCGTAAGCTCTTACATGGCTTCATCAGTTTGAGTAGAGAGCTTGGATCAACGTTAAATATTTGCTCAGTACTTCTTTCACGCTCATACATCACCACAACACCCCACTGTTCACAGAGTCCAATGACGCATTCAAGTCAAGAAATATGGCAAGCGACAGGCATTGACAAGTATTCCTGTGTTCCAGAAACTGTCAAAGGGTAGGTACTTCATCTGTACACCCTTTAGCATGTCTAAAACCTACCTACTTTCCCTGTGTTTGTCCCTCTTAGACTTCGGATAACTATAGACCCTAGGATCTTGGACACAATGTTAGTCAGACTAATTCCTCTACGGTTATTGAGAGAAAACTTCCCTCCTTTCTGGTAGACTGGAAAATAACAGTTATCTGGAATATTCCTACATGTGATTCTCAAACGCTACCTAGAACTGGAAAAGTTTCAAGTATGAAATAGCCTTTTAAATCACGTTGAGAGTTGGTGGACTGATATATATATATATATATATATATATATATATATATATATATATATATATATATATATATATATATGTCGGAACAACGAAACTGTGCACATTTGAGCAGTCGGTAATGAAATACACTAGTTAGCTGAAGCTATCTATAAACGTGTTACCCAATGACTGAAAGTCAACTGTCTTAACCAATTAGCCACAGCTTCACGTATACATTTGATTCACGTTTTCGTATGGTGTTGGGCAAGTGAAGCTTTACTGAGAGGCAGATGAACTATGCTTCAAATTGTCCATAGACAGGTTTCTGTAGATTACTCAGGAGGCACATCTAAGTAGTGGAATCAGGAATTCTACTCAAATTTTAACATTTATGAAAAATCAGTAATAAAAGAGGGGCCGACGTTACGGTATTTCTAAAAAATTCTGAAAAATAAGCTTACATCTCGAACAGTGAGTAGGCCAGTTTGTCACCGGGTATAAAAACTGTATGTACAATAAATATAACATGAAGGCATTTTAAGAGAGTTAGTTTCTTTGCACACAATTCATTTTTAAAGACTAACGTTTAGAGAGTAGTAAGCATCGCTAGGTGTTGGTCACACCTTGAGCAATAAATATATATAAAAGGATTTAGACTTTTGAACAAATCTTGACGTAACACCTAAAAGATTTCTCATTCGAAGTAAGAAAGAATGACGATTGAAACAAAATCATATGATTTCAACTTATTTCATCAGTTCCTTGTCAGCTGCTTGTCATCCAAAACATTTAAATGTTATATAACAAAGAAATTTGAGCATGATTTTTTCCAGTTAATTGAAGTTTGTTAACAGGACGCAGTTTAATAAAAAATTCAAACACCAAGATAAAGCTAAGACATGACATGCTGAGAGGTTTCAGCTATATGAATGTATGATTCAACGGATAAAGATGAATATGAAGAAGAGATTATGCAGTGAAATTAACAAGTAAACAAATTATCTATAATATGTTGAACTCAGTTGGTGCAATGATTATCAAAATTATGCACAGACAAAAGAAGTTTTAGTCGTAAGATGAAATCATCAAATAAGAGTAAAATATTAGGTAAACAGGGCAAAGAAAAACTTTTCACTGCTTTGTTTAGAATACACCATTTCCATCACAGTTGTTTGATCACTACGGCCTCAATGAACTTGAGAAGGCTCAAATAATGTTATTTATTGATTATTATGAAGGATTCTAAGGTATCTACGTGATATCCTATATCATTAATGTCCTGAGAGACTGTACTACTAAAAGTAGTTTTTTGGTACATGTTCACAGAGTCTACAATATATCCTTTTCTGTCCTCTAAATGCAACTCCTACAGCAGATGCATCGCATTGACTGCAAAATATGTTCTGTTCAGGAAGTTTTTCAGCCTTCTATCAGTTTTCCTATCGATATTATCACCTTTGAAGTTCAGTTCAATGAGAACACTGTGAAATAAATCCTATTTTAAATATGTTATCAAGCTAGAGAGAACCATCAGTCACAAGTTTTATTCGATAGATCTCTGCTGTTTACTTCAATACTAGAGGGTATTTGTTGTTCATCGAAGAAAATTGCTGGACATTGTTTCTTAATCAATCCGATGAACTTGTTCACCAGGTTGTACGTAGACATGTGTAAAAGTCGATTAAAAGGAATGTAGTGTTTCAGGTTGAAATCTGCATGACCAAGGAGATCGATGATTGAAAACTCACAGTGTCATCAACCGCAAGTAACTGAAGTAGCTTAGATGCTACTACACATCATCTTCATCGTGAGCTTCAAATCGAACATGATCATATGCCTTGCTTCGATCACATGTTTTCAAGTTTCATCGCGCTGGCTTGTATTTTGATGCACTGATTTCAGGTGTGACATTTGATCCATCACGTAATAATATCAGGTGTTTTGATGATACTAACTCACCAGAAATACGAATTATTTCTTGGTGTTTACGTTTTAAATAGTTGGAAAAATTAACCATTTGTCACTTGGGATTTTAACCTGAAGCCAAAACATCTCATGGAAATATGCTTTAAAATTAGAGATCACGTTCATATTTCAAGGAAAATCTTTTGCTAACAACTTGGCTCCAGAATGATCATTATATTATTATTCTTTTCCCTTGGGTTCCTAGTTGAACATAGGAATTCAGTAACACGTCTCCATTGCACTCTGTTCTCTGCAGTCTTTTGAATCTCGCTCCACGACTTATCAAAAGCTTTCATTTTTTCCTCACACCATCTCCTCCATGTCATCCTCCCTTGCCCAACTCGTCGTTTCCCCTTTGGATTCCACTCCAAGGTCTGGCGCATGATGTCCCCAATCGCCATTCTCAGTGTATACTCAATCCATCTCCACTTCCTTCTGCATATTTGGTAGATGATAGGTTCTTGGTTGGTTCGTTGCCCGGCTAGAGTTCCTTGTTGCTTATACTTTCTGGCCATCTGATCTTCAGTATTGAGCCAGCGTAGGCTGCAGCTGTTGATGAATGTCTGTAGGTTTTTGGAAATGCTTTTCGTGACATGCCAAGTTTCTGAACCATATAGCATCATTGATTTGACAATTAGTGTTGAAAATCCAGATCTTGTACACGTTTTAAGCTGAATACAGTGCAGTAGATCTTCACACTGATTTCGACTCCAAAATGATGAGTGATGAAAATTTTAATAAATATAATTTAGATAATATCTAATAAGAATTTTAGTAATTCAATGATAAAAATTAGAGAAATGATTTATTCATTAAGTAGAATAGTACAATACCTGAACTTCTAATGAATGTACAACTTGAGCATAATCACAGCATTCTTTTTTCAATTGATGTGATTCTTCACGTAAATCTGATAATTCTTTATCTTGTACAGAGTATAATTGAGTTAAATCATTCAATTGATTGTCTAAACGATTAATTAAAGTTGTTTTCTCATTTAATTGAAGTGTTACTGTCCTAGATTAAAATGTGTTTAAAAAATCATTACATTTAGGAGATTTATGTAAACACACACACACACACACTTATCAGTTACTCTACAATCAGTAGTTTTCAAGTAGGCATAATATGTAAGTAAATGATCATAAAATTTACAAATTATTTATTAATACTAGGTGATGATTGAGGATGAAATGAAAATTTTTTTTACCACAGTAGTATTTAAACCGATAAACTTCAGGTTACCAGCTTAATGGTTTAACAACTGAACTGTTAAACCTTGATATAGATCAGATTTTAGTTACATATCACTTATTAAGGGTTTTGTCCAATTGATGTGTAAATTCATGATGTATTACTATTGCTTGATCGTTCTTACACTAGCTGCTGTGGTTAAATTTTCATTTCACCTCCTATCATTACCTAGTATCATAGAAGTCTGACAAACCACATCAGTTATCTCAGATAGTCAAATGGATAAAATTGATTATTCTCAAATTAGCTTTATGAAATAATTTACCAGATTAGAAATAATAAACTTATGTTCGACTGAAGAACATCGGATAATTGACCCATCACCGGAGAACATTATGTCAGAATACAAAATGAAACTAATATACGAATATATAATACAGATACAGTTCAGATAAACAGCATTGTTCATCATGTTCAGTGACATGAATAAGATATGACATTCTTGTCGAACTTCGAAGAAAAACGGTTTGATGAAAATATAGAGGTATCATGGCATAAACAAATACAACTTGAATTCAGCAACAAAGCAACCTGTATAGCAATAAAAGTTTACAAACACTGTTACAATTGATATAAACTTGTGACAGCATAACATAGAACTTATGTCATTATGATTATTTGTCCCTTGGGTTCCGGTTGAACAAACGGCTTCACTAGCACATCGCCATTCTAATCTCTTCTTTTCAGTCTTTTCAACCTGGCTCCACCAATGCCATCAAACTTCCATTTCTTTATCACACACCATATCACCCATGTCAACTCCAGACGCATAACTACTAGTCGATTCCCATTCAACTTCCACTCGACGGCCTGACCTGCTGCGTTATGTCCCAAAAACGCTTTCCCCAGTTTATGCACAACCAAATCTATATCCACCTTCTTCTACATATCTGCTGGGCGATAGCTTCATGGTTGGCTCGTCACCAACCAGCCACAGTTCCTCCTTGCTGATTCTTATTATTCTCGCCATCTGATCTCATCTTCACTATCCAGTGAGAGTAGGCGGCAGATGTTGACCAGTGTCTGAGGTTTATTGGAAACGTTTATCGTGAAGCACCAAGTCTCTCAACCATCACATAGAAGCACTCACTTCATTCACTAACGAAGTGTTCAAAATCCCGACCTTGTTCACGCTTTATGCTGAGTGCACTGCAGTGTAGTGTAGTGCAGTGCAGTGCAGTGTAGTACATCTCCACACTGATTTCAGGTAAATAAAGGAAGGTCTGTGTTGCTGTCTTTCCAATACTGGCTGCCTTTGACATCCTCATCTGTGCCTGTGTCACCGCCTGTAGTTGAAACAATCCTGATTAAGCAGGTAGTTAGGTAGTTACGCAGTTGGTAGGTAGGTAGGTAGGTAGGTAGGTAGGTAGGTATGTAGGTAGGTAGGTAGGTAGGTAGGTAGGTAGGTAGGTAGGTAGGTAGGTAGGTAGGTAGGTAGGTAGGTAGGTAGGTAGGTAGGTAGGTAGGTAGGTAGGTAGGTAGGTAGGTAGGTAGGTAGGTAGGTAGGTAGGTAGGTAGGTAGGTAGGTAGGTAGGTAGGTAGGTAGGTAGGTAGGTAGGTAGGTAGGTAGGTAGGTAGGTAGGTAGGTAGGTAGGTAGGTAGGTAGGTAGGTAGGTAGGTAGGTAGGTAGGTAGGTAGGTAGGTAGGCAGGTAGGTGAAAGAGACTTCCTCCTTCACATTTCTCCTGTTCATGATGATTGGGGCTTCTTGTTGTTGGCTGTCGTGTTGCTTAAGTATCTTCTTCAACTCTGTCTTCTCTACCTTCACCTGAAGCAAGTCCCATCCTCGCTGCCTCGACCCACTCCTTCTGTCAACTTGTTGCTTTTCGCCTGTACATCGTCGACTTTGTGAAACACAACATCAGACATAAATCATCATTGTTGGCAAAATCAAAATCTTCTATGTTCTTTCATCGGTCAAACAGTGTATGCTCATCTTCTCACTGCTCCTCACAGTTTCTCGCATGATTCAGTTCAGTTCAGTCCAGTCCAGTCCAGTCGATCGCAATCAGCAAGACCATCGGTGATGATACTAGACAACCTTGTCTTACTCCTGTCCCTAGTCTTCACTTCAAAACGCATCACTGAACTTCCCACTATGAATCATTTGGCATGAAGCATCATATAGCATATAGCTGTTGAATGAAGCTGATAAAGGTTTGTTGCACTGAAACCTTAGTTTTGAAGCAGCTGCCTGCCAAATTACTTCTCGGTCGATGCCTCAATCGAAGGCCTTTTCAAAGTGGATGAAGTTGAGGTGAAGAGTTGACTACCATTCTATGCTCTGTTCTATGATGATGTGTAGCGTAGCGTTGCAATCTGATCCCACATGATTTGTTCTTCCTGAAGCCAGCCAGCCAGCCTGTTCCGGTCATATTTTAAATCGAGAGCATATTTCAATCTCTCTAGGATGATAGCGCCTAATACTTTGCTTGGGGTAGACAGCAGCATGATTACGCGACAGTTCTTGCAAACACTTAATTCGCCCTCCTCTGGGAGTTTGATAACGTAGCCCTTCTTCCAAATAATGGGCAGGTACCTTCCCTTACTTCTAAAACTTCTGCAATAGTGGTGTGAGCATGTCTACTCACTGTTGTCTCTGCGTCTTTCTCCACTGCTTCTGGAGGAATCCCATCTGGTCCTGCTGCTTTCCTGGCTGTCAGCAACTTTATGGCGTTCATGACTTCGGCTTTTGTTGTAGGGCTTGTGTTCACTGGTAATTCTGTGTCTGGGCTGCTTGTGGAGCTTCTGGAAGAGTTGTAGGTGGTGGTCGGATCATGAGTTCCGTGAAGTGGTCAGACCATTGTTTCCTTTTTACTCTCTGGTAACTAACATTCCTTCACTATCTTTAATTGGTTTCGTCTGCGTTGATCTCTTCTGTCCCAGATAGAGTAACCTGGTTGTTTGATGTAGTATTCCCAGGTCTCTCCTATCATCAGCATGTTCTGCTTCACTTGTCAGTGTGTCGTAGAAGTGTATTTTTTCTTTGCGTGCACTCTTCTTCACTTCTTTGCTCAGTGTAGTGTTTTATAGGTTGTGTTCACCTCTTCTTTCGTTGTTCATCCCTGAACTGAACTGCACTGCACTGGTTCATCTTCTGCTTCAGCATCTTCCTCCCCCTGCTCTGTCAGCTTCCATATGTCCGTCGAGATCCATTCCTTGCCCTGTTTTCTCTTCCTTCCTAATACGGCCATGTAGGTCTCCTTCCACAGCTCCTTCAAAAAGTTACAGTGTTCTCCAACGGAGGTTTCCTCGAAGATGTTGCCTAATGTCTGTCATTTTTTCCTGATGACAGACTGATGTGAATATGTCCTTTGAAGTTTCGTCCTTCAACTGTAGTCTATCATCACCAACTCCTTTGAAGGCTATCAACTTGATTTTGTAGGTAGGTTACTTGCACTAGATAGTGGATAGCGAGTTGCGTAAACCTACATCTGCTTCCCCTCTTGATCTTGTGTCTAGTAGACTGGCTGCATCTCCACTTTCTTCACATTGAGATGAAGTCGATCTGATTTGTAGTGTAGTGGGTCCATCTGGTGAAATCAAATCCATGTCGATGTCTTGTGAATATCCTTGTGTTTGTACACACTGCCCCACCTCTAATCACCAAATCGTTGAATGAGCAGAAGTTGGCAAACAGTTCTGCATTCTCATTCATTATTTCATTGGTGCTTCTTGACCCATGATGAATTCTCTTGCTGTGTTGTCCGCTCCCAGTTTGGCATTCATGTCACCCCACCTATTAGAATTTTGATGTCACCAATCGGAGTGGGGTCTTGTCTAGTACTGATTGTAGTTTCTTGTAGAATTCCTCCTTCTTCCCTTCATCTGTATTATTTGTAGGTGTGTAGAGTAGCATTGTATGATTGTGACTTTTGAGTTGAATCTTGCTGTTATGATCCTGATGCTGGAGGAGACTGATTCCCACCGCATGAGAGCCTTCGATGCTCTTGGAGACATCATGATAGCCACTCCAAAACTTAGTGTTCTCGTGTTTGTCGTCTGGGTGACAATATCGGAGTATATTATTGACTCTCCAATTAAGAGTTTGAAGAATCTACTTCCATTGAATCTACTCTCGCAGATTCCAAGCACTTCAATGCCATACCTCCTCATGTCTGTTGCAATCTAGACAGCCTTGCTAGGTGGTTCATCCATGGTGCGAACATTCCATGTCCCCGTCGTTATTTTCGCTTTCATCGAGAGAAAAGAAGACACATCGGCCGACTGGCTTCCCGATGGTTTTCACCAACCGGCGTCATTCCGACTGCCCTATTCCAGCGAGGAATAAGTTTGTTTTTATGTTTTCTATTTTCTTTGCGCTCTGAAGTTTCTTTTGCCTGTAGAAAAGCTTTCACCCGAACCAATGATTGCCCTGGTCCTTTCTTGCTATTATTTACGGTATACAGTAGAAACTGAGATAATGCTAAGCTTCTTCAGAATGAGAAACATCACCATGTCTCTATATCTATCTTGTCACTTACTGTTTAAATGTATTTTTACCATGCTCATCTTCGAGTTTGGTTTAAGGTGGTTGTCAAGTTGCAGTTTTCTTGTCATCGTTTCGACACAGGCATGCATGTGCTGAGTTAAAACGAGATCCCTGCCTAAGTAAATATCCTGTAAGAGGTTGCAATGCTATAAGAGACTAGGATAGTGTACGCAAATTACCGCTGCCAGCTGTAGAGATGAAGGAAGTTAGGGATAGTGTGGAGCTGTTAGCAGATTGAGATGCGAAAAATCTTCATGATGAAGAAGATCATTGGCGGTCTTCAGGTTTGCATACAGTGAGAGGGAACTAATTCTAGAATCACCTGCAAAAGGAAGTTAATTAGTAAGGATAGTTCTATCATTGTTTGAACGTCACTCAGGAATTGAAAAGACGATCACTGAAGTTGCGTTGGATCCATACTTTAAAACTTGTAATCTGAGGCAATTGAAATTCGTGAGAGCAAAGGGCAGTTTGCTGTTTTTAGGACTAACCTTTCACAAATCTTTCCTGCTAAAAAAAGACAGTATTAGCTTGGAATGCTGATTATCCTGTGAAAACGCATCACTCTAGTCGCACCCTACAAAACCAGCAGTGAAACTTCACCTTCAGAAAACAATCACAATTTGAGTTATTCATATTACAAAGGAAAATGCTTTTAGTCTGAATACTATCTAAATAACTTGTCTAGCGAATTAGAACCTCAAAAACAATTGTTACGGTGCGTGTAACTTGTTGTTGACTAGTTTAAATACCATGTCAAAGCATATATGAGGTATATATAAGGCAGAGTTATGGCACAAAAGTACACCGGTCCAAGTTGCCACGCTTCACAACAGCACATAAGAAAAAGTGAATGAGGAGAGAATAAATAGCTGTAAGTTGATAAAAATGTTAATAAATTCGAAGAAGACAAAGAGTGTTCACATCTGAGCCATTGTGACCGATTTTGAGTCACATTACCAAGAATCTCTAATCACTAGTTTCTATTATCTGAAGGACCTTGTCTAAGCAGACTAAACCTTCCAGGACAGCTCAACTATATCATTGTCTTGGTCTAGTCACTCTTAGCTTTCTTCGCTTAACATCGCATCAACACACGATGTTGGGCCAACCGGTGAGTTGGAGTGCGCAACACATCTAAGTACGATATGAGTCGATGAAAGTTCACAACCTCAACCTCACCTACCTTGTTTAGCATTCCACACCCTACCAAAACTCTGCTGGCACGATGATTTCACAACACTCGTTTAAATCAGGAGTAAGATACTGAGTTTATTTGATAGAGCATAAGGTCAAATAAAAACAAAGATAAAATTACAGAATGAAATGCAGGTAGCAACAGTGTCTAAAACAAACGTTTTAAGAGGCTTAATAATGATACTTAACTAACCTGTATTCTTGCAGTAGCTCTATCCTTTCTTTTTCTTTGCAAGTACATACATCACGAAGGTTTTTCAGCTCTTTATCACTGTCTTCTATACATCTCATTAATTCACTTTGTTTTTCATGAGAAGAATCAATTTCTGTTTGAAGTCGTTGTGTTTCGTTAACCAATTTATCTATTTCAGCCTAAAGATAATTAACAGATATGAACTTTATACAGCTATACAGACAATGACCAGAATAGTAGAATTATTACTAATAGTTATTACAAAAAATCATCATGGACTGAGATCAGTTGGGGACACATTGGGAATCCTGGGGTAGTGAATAGCTGTTTTGTCCTGGAAGGGAACTCTTCAGCATCAGGTACTCATGACTATGCCAAGCATCAAGACTACTACCTTCACGTTTCACTGCCAATACGTTACTATTAAACCATTAGATTGCAATCCGATAGTTCATATTTCTTACTTCTGTCAGTTCACCATATAGCGTGACCTTCACATCCAATGCCGTCGTTGAGTAAGTGTCCTCATGTTCCAATCAGTTGGCCTCACTGGTTAAGAAATCAATAAATGAATCCACACAAACCTCCAAATTGAAAAATAAAGCTACCTATAAACAAATATCGCATAGGCTCTAAGTTTTGTCAGTATTTCGATTCTAATGTTTAAATAAGAAGTATTAATGATCTCACAACTTCCCGTACGGTAAGTATAATAAGGAAGGAGTTATAAAGAAATAAAATGCATGTGACTGAAAAGTAAGTGGCAAAAATGATTATGCATGACCAAATAAATATTAGTCTACGTCGATTAGGTAATATGTTATAATCTAATAGCACATTTTACTCACACTAGAACTTCTATTATTAATATTATTATTTTGTTCCTTGGGTTCCGGTTGAACAAACGGCTTCACTAGCACATCGCCATTCTAATCTCTTCTTTTCAGTCTTTTCAACCTGGCTCCACCAATGCCATCAAACTTCCATTTCTTTATCACACACCATATCACCCATGTCAACTCCAGACGCATAACTACTAGTCGATTCCCATTCAACTTCCACTCGACGGCCTGACCTGCTGCGTTATGTCCCAAAAACGCTTTCCCCAGTTTATGCACAACCAAATCTATATCCACCTTCTTCTACATATCTGCTGGGCGATAGCTTCATGGTTGGCTCGTCACCAACCAGCCACAGTTCCTCCTTGCTGATTCTTATTATTCTCGCCATCTGATCTCATCTTCACTATCCAGTGAGAGTAGGCGGCAGATGTTGACCAGTGTCTGAGGTTTATTGGAAACGTTTATCGTGAAGCACCAAGTCTCTCAACCATCACATAGAAGCACTCACTTCATTCACTAACGAAGTGTTCAAAATCCCGACCTTGTTCACGCTTTATGCTGAGTGCACTGCAGTGTAGTGTAGTGCAGTGCAGTGCAGTGTAGTACATCTCCACACTGATTTCAGGTAAATAAAGGAAGGTCTGTGTTGCTGTCTTTCCAATACTGGCTGCCTTTGACATCCTCATCTGTGCCTGTGTCACCGCCTGTAGTTGAAACAATCCTGATTAAGCAGGTAGTTAGGTAGTTACGCAGTTGGTAGGTAGGTAGGTGTGGGGTGGTACGTACGTAGGTGAAAGAGACTTCCTCCTTCACATTTCTCCTGTTCATGATGATTGGGGCTTCTTGTTGTTGGCTGTCGTGTTGCTTAAGTATCTTCTTCAACTCTGTCTTCTCTACCTTCACCTGAAGCAAGTCCCATCCTCGCTGCCTCGACCCACTCCTTCTGTCAACTTGTTGCTTTTCGCCTGTACATCGTCGACTTTGTGAAACACAACATCAGACATAAATCATCATTGTTGGCAAAATCAAAATCTTCTATGTTCTTTCATCGGTCAAACAGTGTATGCTCATCTTCTCACTGCTCCTCACAGTTTCTCGCATGATTCAGTTCAGTTCAGTCCAGTCCAGTCCAGTCGATCGCAATCAGCAAGACCATCGGTGATGATACTAGACAACCTTGTCTTACTCCTGTCCCTAGTCTTCACTTCAAACGCATCACTGAACTTCCCACTATGAATCATTTGGCATGAAGCATCATATAGCATATAGCTGTTGAATGAAGCTGATAAAGGTTTGTTGCACTGAAACCTTAGTTTTGAAGCAGCTGCCTGCCAAATTACTTCTCGGTCGATGCCTCAATCGAAGGCCTTTTCAAAGTGGATGAAGTTGAGGTGAAGAGTTGACTACCATTCTATGCTCTGTTCTACAATATCTGTAGAACGCAATTAACTAAAAAAAGGTCACTTAGTGGTAGCAGTGTCGCTTAGCTGCATGCAGACTGAAATTTAATAGAGTATGGGATGAAGCAATAATGAAGTAATGTTTTCCTTGCCAGTAACTCCTTAATTTAACAAAAAATACTAGTTATACCGAGAATTATAACCTGTGTTCAAAAATATTGTCTCCAATATAGTGATTATCATCCGTTGATTACACAAAAATAACTACCAATGAGAATCCAAATGAGTAGTTTAACTTTGACTCCAGTACTTGGTAGGACATAGACACTAATAGAATGTTACAGATATATGGAAAAATTATTATTCACTGAGACCTTGTATTCGGGTACCTGTTAAATATCATACATAGAAAACGATGTTTTCCAGAGTTCTAACCAATCCTATCTGTTGTTTGTTTCACATCAATACAAAAGATGTTGGCAATAGAAATTTTAAGCTGTATAAATATTTTCAGGATAAATGAATGAAATCTTTGTGTTGGGAACAATTTAATTAAATTTTTGAGGGGGTTGTGGAGATTTGGAAATATTTCAAGTTGTTATTCATCGAAGACTGACATCAGTTGGAGGAACAAAGGAAACCTCGGAGCACTGGACAGCTGTTTCGCCCGACTAGTATGGGACTCCTCAACAGTGCGCACCCACCACCCCACCAGCAGGGGTCGAACTCGCGACCTTCAGGTTCGCGACCAGCGCGTTACCATTGAGCTAGACACTGCGTCAGAATCCAATGCTCCATATTTCCAACTTCTGTTAGCTCACAATATAGCGCAAACCGCCACCCAATGTCATCGTTGAGTATTTGTCCTCACGGCCATCAGGCTTTGACTCCACCGGTCACGAATTGTCATTGCAACTTCGGGAATACTTCTCGAAGCTAGTCACCAACGAGCACTAGTTCAATTAAATTTTGAGGGGGTTGTGGAGATTTGGAAATATTTCAAGTTGTTATTCATCGAAGACTGACATCAGTTGGAGGAACAAAGGAAACCTGGGAGCACTGGACAGCTGTTTCGTCCGACTAGTATGGGACTCCTCAGCAATGCGCACCCACGACCCCACTGATGTCAGTCTTCGATGAATAACAACTTGATACTGTTTAATTATTCATGGAACAATACAAATAAATAAAATTTTCATGTATTGACAAATTGATGCTGCATTCCTAGAGTTTATAAACATCATTAGATTGATGTTAGAATGGACTGTCTAACTCTATCAATGTATTCAAGCTTTAAGTTAGATCTAACGTAAGCCTTCAATAGACTATCTATTAACCGTTCATCATTAGATTTTTGTTATCATCGTAGTAGAAGATAGTTGTTTAGATGGTATACTAAACGAACTAGTTTTATGTAATAGACCTTTATTTCAGAACTATTTTGTATGCCATGCATAAAATTTTAATCACTGAAAGAATTCAATAATGCATATTCAATTTATGATTGTTTTAATGCATAAATTATATATTATCTTTGATAATTAGGTTGTGATGGTAACAAAAAAAAATTAAAGTTTTCTTATGTAAAGTGATTAAAACAATAAAGGGGTGTAATAATTAAACTGTACACCATTAACAATGAATCGAATTTTATTATCATCAATGTGGGTAATTAGTAATAATAAATCAACAGATATCTGAAATTATTACCAATTATAATAACTTTGATAAATAGAAAGAAATTACCTTTGCCTTTTCTATCTCTCTTGTTAAAAGATCCTGGTTTTCTGATGTAGATTTTAGATCACACTCTGATTTAGATAAACGTTCTAAGAGTTGATGATTTTCCGTTTCACGTTCATTAACCGATTCGATTAGCCGTACTATTCGCTTTTCTGAGGCATTAATATTATTCTTTAAAAAAAGATATTAGTATATTGGTGAATAAAAAGTTATGTACACACAGGTGAAAACTAACAAATTCATAAAAGAGGCAGAGAAGATGGGACTTCAAATGAATGTAGGGAAGTTATAGGTGATGAAGATATCCAAACAACAACAAGCACCAATCACCATCAATGGGAGAAACCTAAAGGAAGTTGTCTGTTTCACCTACCCAACTAAAAACCATCGTTTCAACTACAGCCGGTGGCACAGACACAGAGGACAACGTCAAAGTCAGGCAGGATTGGAAAGACAGCAACACAGACCTTCCTTTATTTACCTGAAATCAGTATGGAGATCTACTACACTGCACTGTACTGCACTGCAACCAGCATAAAGCGTGAACAAGGTCGGGATTTTGAACACTTCGTTAGTGAATGAAGTGAGTGCTTCTATGTGATGGTTGAGAGACTTCGTGCATCACGATAAACGTTTCCAACAAACCTCAGACACTGGTCAACAGCTGCCGCCTACTCTCACTGGATAGTGAAGATGAGATCAGATGGCGAGAATAATAAGAATCAGCAAGGAGGAACTGTGGCTGGTTGGTGACGAGCCAACCAGGAAGCTATCGCCCAGCAGATATGCAGAAGAAGGTGGAGATGGATTGGTTTAGACATACACTGAGAAGCATTATAATCACTTACTTTCAAATCTTTTATTTGTCTATCACAAGCTAATAATTGACGCTCTAAAGTTATACAACGTTCTGTTCGTTCATCTAAACACATTTGAATATGATCCTTCTCTTGATCTAATTGACGAAGTGTATTGTGTAATTCAGTACATTCAGTGCAAGATTTCTATGAAATAAAAATAAAACGAAAAAGTAGGATTTATACATGTAAAAAAGAAAATAAAGTGAATTCGGTAGTAGTAGTAGTAGTAGTGGTAGTATTGGTAGTAGTAGTAGTAGAATTAGTGTTAGTATTGGTAGTAGTGGTGTGAGTAGTAGTAGTAGTAGTAGTAATAGTAATAGTAGTGTAGCATTGTAATTCTACCATTCACATTTGATAAATTCAATACATATGCCTGGTTTTGCACGTTCTATTTGAGTGATTAACTATTAGTATGTAACTTAAAAATTAAGTAGAGGTTTGCTCAACAGATAATGAACTACGCTTAACGTATGACGGCCTGGTAATACTACCTGGCAGCCTTAACTTTTATAGATGAGGTAACCACCTGAAACTACCTACTCATGATTATCCACAGCCTTACAATAGATAGTTGTCAGAATATAACTCAATATATCAGAATTGAAAAGCTTAAAAATGATTAAGAATCTATGAAATTTCATGCCCAATACACTGGTGCATGAAAATTCATAGGATATTTAATATTATGATATCAATCAATGACGATAATTGAGTTTATGCTGGCAAGTATCTTAGTATCTCAGGCGTATTATGCAATTTGATCAATATTAAACACTTTCGATATTGTGAAGTGTGATCTAGAAATTGTACATTTTAACCTCCCACCCCTTTCTTCCATATTGTCACTACACTGATAAATATTCATTCTCTCATGTTATTAATTTTACGCCCTTCTGTATTCATACTACTAGTAGTAGTAGTAGTAGTCGTTTTCAACCGTGACGTAACACTTCACATTTGTTATTCTCTATTTGGAACAAAATATATAAGCGAACAGTATTGTAAGTTGTTATTCATCGAAGACTGTCATCAGTTGGAGGAACAAAGGAAACCTCGGAGCACTGGACAGCTGTTTCGTCCGACTAGTATGGGACTCCTCAACAGTGCGCACCCACCACCCCACCAGCAGGGGTCGAACTCGCGACCTTCAGGTTCGCGACCAGCGCGTTACCATTGAGCCACTAGGTCACAATCCAATGCTCCATATTTCCAACTTCTGTTAGCTCACGATATAACGCAAACCGCCACCCAATGTCATCGTTGAGTATTTGTCCTCACGGCCATCAGGCTTTGACTCCACCGGTCACGACTTGTCATTGCAACTTCGGGAATACTTCTCGAAGCTAGTCACCAACGAGCACTAGTTCAATTAAATTTTGAGGGGGTTGTGGAGATTTGGAAATATTTCAAGTTGTTATTCATCGAAGACTGACATCAGTTGGAGGAACAACTGATGTCAGTCTTCGATGAATAACAACTTGAAATATTTCCAAATCTCCACAACCCCCTCAACATTTAATTGAACAGTATCGTTTTCAATTAGATCCTCTTCAGGCTTTACTCTCTATTTCCTTATAGTATTCACATTATTCTTATCCTACCTGAATATAAGTCATCACTACATAATTATTATTTGACCCTTTAAAAACAAACACATACACATTCATACCGCAGTTATCTGTAGATTTTGTCGCCCCATTTCGTAATTGTTCTGTAAATATTGGTTTAATTGCACAACTAATACACTAGACTGATAACAGTTCTACCATTCCATTCGATTTGATCCCCCTCTATTCACCTATCAGAACACTGAGTGTTTCAGTATAGTAAAGAATGTACATTATGCCTAATTTCGGCTATTGTTTTTCACTTATTCTCATGGATTTATAATTGTAGAGCCAAAAGAGGAATAAGTTATTGAAAACAATTTTTCACTTAAATTATTCTCATCCCAATACAAATCTAACTGAATCAGAGAGGGGGAGCATCATATTCATTATCATTTGACTATCAGAGATAGCGTGGTTTAATAGACTAGTATTTATACTGGATGAAGTCTTGACTAAGCAGCCAGTGTGAATACGATCAAGTGGTAGTAACGTGTCACAAATTCACATAATAGTCTGAGAATGGAACTCAATTCACTAAGGTTTGAAGTCAGTGATGTTACCACTAAGCTATTTCAGTTGTGTTTTAACTGCTTCAGAACCTGATTAGATGCCTTGATTGATCACTGGGAAGCAACTAATTTCATATAGACTAGTCCTGAGTGTTGATCGAATTCTATCGAGCTATGGTTTTCTGTTAATTACCTTCAACTAACTAACATTCATTAAAATGTACCATGACGGTAAGCTTTCCAGCTTCATGGTTATATGGAGTTCAATCAAGAGCTCAATCACACAGTTGCTACCAGTTTTAGTATGACCTGTATACAACTTCTATGGTATTTTATTATTATCACTGAATTTAAAAAATATATTCATGCTTTTTATCAACTGATTACAAAAGAGATAAGTTAACTAAGTATGTTAGTGTTTTGAAGAAACAAAACTATTAATTAGAATACTAACTTCATAATCTTTTTGAACTTTTTCTAATTGATTTTGAACAATTTGTAATTTTCTTTCCATGTTTATAATTTCATCAGTAGTCGAATGATGATGCTTTTCAAGACAATTCACTTTTTCAATCTATTGAAATATGAAAAGAAATACATTGTAGAAATTTAACTATACATTTAATAGGTATTCATCAAAATTAGGTAGAATAAAAATCTCATCATCATGATTAACATGAAAATATACCAGATGATTTCACCTTCAATAATTTCGTGAGCACAGTTACTCAACGATGACATTGTGTGGCGGTTGCGCTATATCGTGAGCTAACAGAACTTGGAAATATAAACCACTGGATTCTAACCCAATAGCTAGCTGAATGGTAACGTGCTGGCCATGGAACCTGAAAGTCGTGGGTGCTCACTGCTGAGTAGTCCCATACTAGGACAAAACAGCTGTTCAGTGCTCCCAGGTTTCCGATGTCCCTCCGATTGATGTCAGTCTATGATGAATAACAACCTGAAATAGTCTTCTTGATGTAAGAAAAATAATATCTTGATGTGGGAGTTGAAAACAATGAAAGAAAATTAACATATTTTGAGAATATTATCTTACAAGTTCATATCTTAAGAAAAAACAAGACGCGGTTACAGGGAAGAAAATTTTTTTCTTTTCCATGAAGTCATTTACTACTAAGCTGTACATTCGTGAATATACGTTACAGTGGGTAGAACGTTCCATAATTATTCCTAGTTAGGGGACAAAATATATTGAATAACTAAAAGAAGTTAGAAGTAGTATCCATCATGGAACCATTGAAAATCTGGGAGCAATGGACAGTATGGGACTTCTCAGCAGTACACACTGAAGACCTTGTCCTAATATGGGACTCAATGGTTCCCCAACTGATGTCACTCCATGATGAATACTACTTCTAATTAAAAATCCCCACTCATCTCAAAAATACATTACTCCATAGTGCTCATTAGCGACTTGCTTCCAGATGGATATAAGGAAGGTGTAATGAGAAGCCGTGACCTGTGGGGTCAACCAGTCGGGAGTGAAGCGGATGCTAACTGAAGACCTTGAGTGATAGTCGTGCTATATCACGAATTGATAGAAGTTGGAAATTGTGAACAAATGGAAACCGACCCAGTGGCTGAATGGTTAGAACGTTCGCGGTGAAACCCGAAGGTCCTGAGTTCGATTTCTAGCCGGGTTGTGGGTGCGTACTGCCGAAGAGTCTCATACTGGGACGAAACAGCTGTCCAGTGCTCCCAGATTTTCAATAGTTCCCCAACTGATGTCAGTCCATGATGAATACTACTTTTAAATTAAAAAAGTCCCCATTCATTTTAAAAGAAGTTAATGAATACACAATTGGGTTTAGAGTGAGGAAATGGACATGGCATTATGTAATGTAAATATGCCATAAAGAATGAATGTATAGCATAGTAAAAAATTAAAGGAATGGCTATGAAAATAAAATTGTGATTACATAATACCTCATGAACTCAGGTCACTTTAGCTTCGTTTGACAGCTCATTGAAAATTGTCCACATGGTTCCATCAAACCACTCGAAGAGATTAAGATCAAGGCGTTCGAGTATAGTTGAAGTATGAGCTATTTAGAAGTTTGAACTAGCGTTATGCGTCCAAAAACGGTACGTCCAACCTTGATCTCTGCCATGACCATCATAGAGCTTTGACTGTCATAGATCCATTTTGTATTACATAACTATACATATATTTCCATAATCCCTTGTTCATTTTCCTACTCTGTCATACGTTTATCGGATATTATGTAATTACAATCTTACTTTCATAACCACATGCCAAGTAATTCACAATGGGAAGCTCAGTGATTCTTTTGAAGTGAAGACAGGAGTAAAACAAGGCTGCCGCCTACTATCACCCATGATATTCCTGATTGTGGTCGACTGGATCATGCAACAAAAAGTGAGGAGCGAGAAGAGAGGGATATGCTGGACCAGGGAAAAGAACCAAAAGGATTTAGATTTCGCCAATGATGACTTGTGTCCAATGTCACACAAACTTGAAGATCTATAGGCGAAAACTAACAAGTTGACAAAAGAGGCAGGGCAGAGCAGCGAAGATCGCACTTCAAGTGAATATAGAGAAGACACAGGTGATAAAGATACACAACCAACACCGCTACCACCACCACCACCAACAACAACAACAACAACAAGCTCCAATCAACATCAACAGGAGAAACTTACAGGAAGTAGCCTCCTTCAACTGCACCTATCGAGGCAGCACTGTTTCAACTACACATGGCACACACGAAGACGTCAAAGCCAGCCAGGATCGGAAACACAGCAAGACAGGCCTTCATTAGTCTGAAACCAGTGTGGAGATCTTCTGCACTGCACTGCACTCAACATGAAGCATGAAGCGTGAACAACATCCAGATTTTCAACACCAATGCCAGTCAAGTCAGTGCTTCTATGTGATGGTTGAGAGACTTGGCGCGTTACGAAAGGGATTTCCAACTAATTACAGATATTCATCAACAGCTGCCTACTCTCACTCGATACTGAAGATCAGCTCAGATGGTCAGAATGATGAGAATAAGGTGCAAGGAACACTGACTAGCTGGCTGGTGACGATCCAACCAACAACCTATCGCTGAACAAATATGCAGTGGAAGGAAGTGGAGATGGGTTGAGCATACACTGAGAAGACCGACTGGTGACATGACGCGTCAGGCCAGGCCAGTTGCTCGAGTGGAACTCAGATGGGAAGCGATGAGTTGGTTGTCTGAGGTGAGGGTGACATGGAGGAGATGGTGTGAAGAAGAAATGAGAGGTTGTGGGCAGTCGTGTAGTCAGGTTGAAAAGATTTCAGAGGAGAGAGTGGAATGGAGACGTGTTGGTGAATCCCTATGTTCCACTAGGAACCGAAGGGACAAATAATAATAATAATTCGTTCACTTTTCTACTACGTCATACATTCATCCTGTATTGTATAATTACATTTAACCTTCTGCCCACTGTAACATAAATGCACGAATGTTCAAGTTTAGTAAGTGAGTTCGTCGAAAAGAAAATTTTCTCTTCGCTGTAACCACATCCAGTCTTTTCCAGAGATAACATCATTGTAAAATGAGATTGTCATACTGAAGTTAGCGCTAATGATGTCGTATAGAAAGATGATGAATGCTCCACGATTAAACAATCCAGCTAAGAGAACACAATACAACCAAGATTTCAAGTTGTTATTCATCGAAGACTGACATGAGTTGGAGGAACAAAGGAAACCTGGGAGCACTGGACAGCTGTTTCGTCCTAGTATGGGACTCCTCAGCAGTGCGCACCCACGACCCCACCAGCAGGGATCGAACCCGCGAACCCCCTCAAAATTTAACAACCAAGATTGTTAATTCATTTATGATGAATAGGACCTGATTAATACACGGCAATCGTCGATGTATTCGTCAGCAGCGAATTTAGACATTAGTTGATCACATTACGTTGGTCTACAGGTCTCTTTTATCTCTAGTCTTTTAAGGGGACCATATTAATTCATAAGGAAAAAGATAAGATAAGATAATAAGGAACCAGTTCAAAATGTGAAAAAAACAAATGAGCATACGTTAAACTACGCTCCATTAATTGAAAATAGTACTGAAGGAAACTTCAAAAAATACTCAAAAACGATAGGCCACATCAATAGTCATCTCATATAGGTAACATGCCTAGGATGAGGTACTCAACAATGCCTAGGAGGCCGCGTACTTAGAAGAGATACAAATCAACCAACATTTGGTAACCAGTGTAATCGTTTAGTCCTCCGTTAAAGCTTACCATTGACCGGATTCTACCAATCAGACTTTACAGTGTGATCATTGAACAAAGTGACGCAACTCTAAGATACGCTAGTTTTCGGTGTTAGATATTGACGGCCAATCAGCAGGAAAGCCTGCTTTATCCAGGTTTCATACTTGTTGTCATTCATTGGCATAGTATATCTGTGACGATGAAGTGATCTGAACCTGGATAAATCATTGCAGAAGTCAAAGATTTAGCAACTACGTTATATGAACTTCGATTGATTTCCTATAGGACTGAATCATGTACATGCTTTGCTGATGAGTGCTGATAAGCACGAAGTTTAGGAACAAGATAGCCTATTGATTGAATCCTACCATATTGTATCAAAAGATATACAATAGGCTTCATATGAAATCAAAGTTCTAAAAATGATAACTCTAGGTAGTTTTTACAATCTTCTAATAATCCCCGTAGGGCTAAAACACTTGACAACACTTCAGACACATCTCAACGTTCTATAATATCAAGTTACAAGGTTGCCCATAACAAGAGTGAAATTATACAAGAAGCTTTTAGAAATTACAAGGAACATCTCTTTTAGCGTAGAGTATATTCATATTAAATGGAATCAAAATTGTCTTAAACATGGATGAAGGGATAAAAAAAAATAGCCTGACCAGGTTTCCAATAACTTCCACAAAATAATCAAGAAACCTGCAGCAATAAAATGATTATTTTTTCATCCTTTCAGATCACTTGAAAACATCGAATCATCTATGCAAAAAAAAGATTTAATCCAGATTTCATATATAAGATAGGAGATTGTAAATTTCGACTAAAAAGTACTACTTCGATTACGTTATTCTCAACAAACAGTAAAACATCACTGAAAGCAACCTTATAATAAACATGTACTAACTAGTTTGGTGGAGCTTCCTATCGATTGGCTGCAGGATTCTCCATATATTTAAGATAGGCATTGAATTATTCCGATTACATATGCTAAACCTGATTCAATGAACAGAAATTCATTTAGCAATCAGTCACTTTTTCTCTCCATCTATCTGTATCAGTCTTCAGTAACACTGCTCTATCCTATCCTATCCTCCATTAATTTATCAGTGCTTGTACACCAATGGTTGAAATCCTTTCTAGGTTTCTTATCTTAATGAGGTCGATTATTTCAAAATTAGCGAAGGTCATATTCTCTGACAACCTGATCAACTCATATTCAGAAGTCGACGAAGTCGTAGGATACTTTAGTATAACTCCAAATCGGTAATTAAGTATATATATATATATATATATATATATATATATATATATATATATATAAAGCATTTCAGGCTTACTAGCTTATCACGTTCACTTTCAGTATCTACAAACAACTTTGTCAATTCTGTAACACGTTGTTCCAGCGAATGTTCCCTCTGCTTAACTGTATCTAATTCCTGTTTACTATTGTCTAAACATTGCAAGTAATAAGCTTTATCATTGACATATTGACTAGTTACAGTGTGTAGTTGTTCACATAATGAATCTCTTTCAGTAGTTATAAGATGTAGGCTTTGAACAGTTTGAGTATGTTCAGCTTCTAGTTTTTTATTCCAATTCAAAAGGAATAATTGTGAATGATTAGTAAAAAGTGTTGAATTATGCATAGATTTCGCTTGCTGATTGAATTCACCAAGGAAACATTTCTTTGCTTCTGACAAGTCAAGTTTAGTCTAAAGTTGAAAAAAAAAGGGAAAACAGGGAGGATAACAACTGAATGACTAGTGAAATTCATAAGTAGATGATAGTAACACTGAAAAAATCAACGTAGAACCTGGAACACAGGTCCATCGATCCAAATTGTCACATTTCATGGTAGTACACAAAAAACAGGTGGATATAAAAAAGTGATATCAAAATTGTGTGGAGGAATAGTGCAAATATTCAAGTTTTAAATGTCTACGTAGACAACAACCAACAAATGGGTCATGGGTTGTAAACCCCTTCGACGTACTGAAGTTTCGGCAGCCAGGTAGTATCATTAGCACTCTTATAATCAATGTGGTTTATTGCCCACTTCATGAATATGCACAAGGTTGGTGAATGCATTTCAAATTTGAAATTCATCTCAGTAAACTAAGGTAAACAACCTCATCAATCGACTTACCTGTTTTGCCAAGCACCGTTCGCTTAATCTCAACATTGTTCATCTTAGTGGTAAATAATGAGGTTAGGAAAATTTTCATAAATTCCGTCCAATTATGTATTGCAGAATATTTTTTCGTCCTCATTTCCAACAGTGTTGGTAGATTTTGTTATAACTATAAATTTCAAGTTGTTATTCATCGTAGACTGATATCAGTTGGAGTAATAAAGGGAACCTGGGAGCACTGGACAGCTGTTTTGTCCTAGTATGGGACTCCTCAGCAGTGCGCACCCACGACCCCGTCACGGATCGAACCCATGACTTTTAGTTTCCGTGGCCAGCACGTTACTATTGAGATACTGGGTCAGAATACAACAGTCCATATTTCCAAGTTCTGTTAGCTCACGATATAGCGCAACCTACATCTAATGTCGTCGTTGAGTAACTGTCTTCATGTTCGACTTGGTTGATTCTACTGGTCACATACTAGGACGAAACAGTTGTCCAGTGCTTCCAGGTTTCCTTTGTTCCTCCAATTGATGTCAGTCTAGGATGAATAACAACTTGAAATATTTTCAAATCCCCACAACTTCATCAAAATTCAATCATTATAAATCACTGCTTGATTCTTGTTTATTATTTCTATAATTTTCTCAGTCATTATATAACCGAGTGGTATTGGCAAAAAAAGGCTGGATGTTAAATGATTCAACATTCAACCTTGGTCAAAGAATACAACAAGTGACCTAGTCAAAATTGTATTATCACTTTTATGAAATATAAAGAGTGATAAATATTGAAAAAGAAATAGAATATCTCTGATATCAATGATGGATAGTGGCTAGCAGTGAAATTGAGGACATACGTTTCGTCCTATTTGGGACTCGTCAGCTGGATGCATCTGCACTCTAGTAAGTGATATTATTCCAAGCGGGACTTAAACTGAGGACCAATCACTTCAAAAGCCAAAGCGTTACCCATCAGACCATCGAGTCACAACAGTCACTTCTGGTGAAACAGGTATAGTTTTAGTGTTATTGATTGTATTATACCGTGGTTGATTAGACCGAATTGATCGGTCTTTATTAGCATATGGGATACTGTGCGGATATCTGGATATTACCTTCGTTCTAAATATCTATATTATTGATGGATATTGGTTGGCAGTGAAGTCCAGAACAAGCGTTTCGCTTTATAAGGGACTCGTCAGCAGGCAATATCGAGACTTCTGCGCAAGAGTTCATATGCCAATAGAGACCGATCAATTCGATCCAATCAACGACGAGATAATACAAGCAATAACATTTGAATATCTCTGAGTTGAGTAACAAGAACAGTGAGATTAGGAAAACATCGTCCAATATTCCATTAGAGGATAAAATTTGAATGATATTTTACAGGCATTTGAAAGATGTACAAAATTGCCATTATGAGAATTATAACAAGACATGTAAGCGAACAATATTGTCTTCAATTAGATCGCATCAGGCTTCTCTATAATATACATAATATACATACTGTAATATATATATAACTTTGTTTCGTGTGAAACGAAGGATATTTTACCTAATTTCGCCACTTCTATGTATATTTACCAGTTTAATTGCTCCTGTGAAGACAGTTATATCGGGCGTACGACTACGCAACTTAACCAACGTATTGCTGAACACTTACCTTCGTGACTGGATAAAGGACAGGTTAAATCTATAAGAAGCTCTATTTTGTCGCATTTAGTTGACACTGATGACAGAGTAGATAAAACGAAAGCGTTAAAAGTGATTTACCGCATACAACTAAACCTTTTCGATGGAGTTCGAATCCACCTTTTATATATAGGTGAAGCTATAGAAATTTGAATAAACAATACAAAGCTATGTATCCAGAAAAAATTTGTACAGCCTTTATCCCTGCCTTGGCCTGAAAGAACTTAGTAAATGGCCTTAATTATGAGTCTTAAAGTGTACTTCTCTTTTTTATTTTATTTCATTTTTTAACCCCTTTCATACTACTACTATATTCACAATTAACCCTTATTTATTCATCACCTTCAACTACAAGTATCATACAACTTTATTGTCCCTTTTTGTTTTCAGTCTTTGACCTATATTGACTATCTATGTGTTTAAACACCTTTTTATATTATCGTTTCATTATGAACATTCGTGTTAACCTTTTTTTATAATCCATATTCCTTGTTGTTGTCCCACAAATTATCTTGATTCGTTGACATTTTACAAATATGTATATTAGAGTGAAGTGTGATGAGATCTAATTGAAAACAATATTGTTCACTTACATCTCTTGTTATATATTTAAAAGAAGGTATCGATCTATCTAAACATAAATATTAATAGATCTCAACTTTATGAGAGATACTTCACTATAGTAAAGATGGATAGTGTGTAGCAGTGAAATTCAAGATGTGCATTTCGTCCTATTCGGCACTCGTCAGATGAATGTACCTTCAGTGAGTAATGTTGTTTCCATTAGAATTCGGATTCAGGAGCGATCGCTTCAAATGCCAGAGCGTTATCCATTACACTACCGAGCCGGGATAACCATTTCTTGTGAGATTGGTTATAATTTTAGTATTATTGTTTGTACATCCGATCAATTCGGTTCAATCAACGATGGTATAATACATGCAATAAGACTAATGCTTCACTATAGTCTATAGTGTATGATCACAGTATCTATAATAATATTTGTGATCATATTATATTTTTAACAGCTGATATTTAACAATATCCTTCAATTTTCGGTCAGACATCATGATAGAATGTGGTAGAGTTGGTTTTCAGTGTCTAATTTGTTTTAAAAATGTTACAAGATTATATGAAGAGTGCCTATATATTCAATTATGCACCGCAATGTAATGGATATCAATAGACATAAGCCATAAGGATGCAGAATTCTTGTCTTCAACTCTGCTATTTTATATTATTTTAACTTATCCAATTAGTGTAGATACTGCGGTACAAGATACTGTATATATATAAATAAGTATTGACTCAAAACAAAGAAATAAAAAGGGGTTAAATTTACTTTTGATAATACTTGTGTAAGCATATCACGTTCATGAGTGAGAACACGAACATTCCCTTGTATCTGTAATGAAATATATGACATACACTGTAACAATTCTAGTTATAACAATGAGGTATTCAATAAGAATTCAGTGGACAATAATGAACTGATTAAAAAAGTAATATTCTATCTAGAGGTTTATTAATTGATTTTAAGTTGGAATATATCATGGATTGACATCAGTTGGAGGTACATTGGAAACCTGAGAACACTCGACTACTATTCAGCAGTGCGCACCCATGATCCAGCCCTCTAGGGCTCGAACCTATAACCTTCAGGTTCCATGCTCAGCACGTTACCGTTGAGCCACTGGGAAGCAATTCAATCGTCCACATTTCCTTCTTCTGTCAGTTCACCAACATCCAATGTCGTTGTTGAGTAACTGTCCTCATGTTCGACTTCGTTGAATCTACTGATCACGATTTCTCGTTGGAACTTAGGGAATTCCAACCTAAAATCAATTGATAGTTCACCACAAAACCTCCAGATAGAAGTAACCTAGCACTCATTAATGACTAGCTTCAAGAGGTGACTCCTGAAGTTCCAATGAGAAGTCGTGACCAGTGGAGTCAGCCATGTCGAACGTGAGGACAGTTATTCAACATCGACATTGGATGTAAGTCACGCTGTATGGTGAACTGATAGAAGTAGGAACTGTGGATGGTTGGATTCTGACCCAGTGGTTCAATGGTAACGTGCTGGCCACAGAACTTGTAGGTCGTCAGTGAGATCCCTAGAGGGTGGGATCACGGGTGCGCGCTGCTGAGAAGTTACATACCAGGACGAAACAGTTGTCCAGTGCTCCCAGGTTTCCAATGTTCCTGCAACTGATGTCAGTTCATGATGAATCCTAACCTAAAATAAACTGGAAACAGTTGAAAGTGACAACCACATAGTCAAGTTATGGAACCATTTGCAAAATCGAATTCCATCATTTATGCAAAGAAATACATCAATACAGGCGTATCTTTTGCTTACCCCTTCTTTTAGCTTAAAGTTTATCAAAGCTGGATTGCGTGAACGGTTACGAAAAAAATAAGCAATAGTAACCGATTACACTAATCAGGGGTAATTTACACAATACAAGGTCATCCAAAGCTCTGAACATGAACTAATTGATGTCAGGAAGGTCAGCTTGATTTGGTTAGTTATCACTATTGACTAGCATAAATACTTTACAACTACTCATATTGTCCCGCAGTGTCTTCTCTACATCCTTCATTAGTCAATAACATAATTTTTTATCATTAAATGCTATAGAGAGACCAATATTTATGCCATTGATGAAAGTATCTTGGATACTTGACTCGATTGATTATGAATATTAACAATAATTCCTTAATCAAGTGAACTGGCATTATGATACCAGATGCCTAGCAGTTAGAATACGAAAACAACAGACAGTTAAAAAGACAGACATCCGCTTTATCAACGGGACAAGAAGTATATATGTTTGAAAATACAAACACAAAAGGAAATCTTCATTTAAACACTCAAAATGGTTACTGTTGGTTAACTCAGTTAGAATACGAGAAGAAAAGAACGACAGACGAAAATACCAAAGTTGATGTAATGAATCATTAAACTGTCTACCAATTGAATGACAATAGGCAGCAAATGCAAAAAAGGCAAAACCAGTGAGTTAAATGAAGAATACAACAAAGATATTCATTATTGAAAAGATATCAACAATGACGACTAATGGGAAAATTTGAAAAGATACTAACAGATGCTTTACATACTTAACTTGTTATTGAATATACCTAAGAAGTTGTAACTCATTGGTCAACGCAGTCAACTTTCAGTCAGCTGATGATAGAATCGAACTCTAAAGGATATACACTGGTTTGGGTAGCCAGGTTGTATCACTGGTCCTTACACAATATAAGCCATTCATTGTTAGATCATGGATATCTGACTGTTTATTGATACAGAGATCAAGATGTTTTCTACATTCATAACACCAACGTGAACCTCATCATAAAGTCTATGACAATTTTCATGCTATTGTACAACAGTATGCAAGTGCAGTTTATGTTTTATGTTTTTTTTGACAAATTCAAACAAGCCAATGATGTTTTGATTGTTTTCTGAGAATACACTAGTAAAAAGCTACTTAACTTTGCCGAGCAATTGGTAATAAGGGAAGAGTACTGACATGAAGTTCTATTTGACCTATAATAAACACAAGTACCGATTAATATAAACAAGTAATCAAGATAGATGAGCAGTTAATCAAACTCAACAACCACTTGAAACATCCTTCATTGATTATAACACCAAGTAAAAGTACAACACAACTGGTGGACATACATCATAAAGCTGTTGTTCAAAATGATTCAGTAATGAAGCTAGATCATCACGTTCTTGACGTAAAAACTTCATTTCATCATTCAGGGAATGCTAAAATTTAACAAAAAATAAAATTTTTGTAAAAATAGCAGTGAAATTTCTTACCAAAAGGGAATATATGAAAAATATTCAATGTTCAATGGAACTGAATTTTCACAATAGTTAGTTACAAAATAACAGAAAATTTTAAGCTGTACAGTAGGCGTCAAAATGAAATACATGACAAATAAATGTGTATCTCTACTACCTTCAAATAGACGGATCCCATAAGAAATAAACTGAATTACCTCAAGCATCCACTTAACAGATACGAGAAAAACAATTATTATTATTACTATTACTATTACTATTATTATTATTATTATTATTATTATTATTATTATTATTACTATTATTTGTCGCTTGGGTTCCTAGTGCACCAAAGGGATTCATCAGCACGTCTCCATTCCACTCTCTTCTCTGAAATCTTTTCAACCTGACTACACGACTGCCCACAACCTCTCATTTCTTCCTCACACAATTTCCTCCATATCACCCTCACCTCAGACAACCAACTCGTCGCTTCCCATCTGAGTTCCACTCGAGCAACTGGCCTGGCCTGACGCGTCATGTCACCAGTCGGTCTTCTCAGTGTATGCTCAACCCATCTCCACTTCCTTCCACTGCATATTTGTTCAGCGATAGGTTCTTGCTTCGTTGGTTCGTTGCCAGTCAGCCAGCCAGTCAGTGTTCCTTGTTGCTTATTCTTATCATTCTGACCATCTGAGCTGATCTTCAGTATCGAGTGAGAGTAGGCAGTTGTTGATGAATATCTGTAGTTTGTTGGAAATCCCTTTCGTAACGCGCCAAGTCTCTCAACCATCACATAGAAGCACTGACTTGACAATGGTGTTTTTCACGCTTCATGCTGAGTGCAGTGCAGTGCAGAAGATCTGCACACTGGTTTCAGACTAATGAAGGCCTGTCTTACTGTCTTTCCGATCCTGGCTGGCTTTGACGTCTTCGTGTGTGCCACGTGTAGTTGAAACAGTATTGCCTAGATAGGTGCAGTTGAAGGAGGCTACTTCCTTTAAGTTTCTCCTGTTGATGTTGATTGGAGCTTGTTGTTGTTGGTGGTGGTGGTGGTGGCGGCGGTGTTGGTTGTGTATCTTCCTCACCAGTGTCTTCTCTATATTCACTTGAAGTCCGAGCTGTGAGAAGAGGGGGATACGCTTGATCGCGGAAAGGAACCCAGAAGACTTGGATTTCGCCAATGATGACTTGTGTCTAATGTTACACAAACTTGAAGATCTACAGGCGAAAACTAACAAGTTGACAAAATAGGCAGAGCAGCGAAGATCGCACTTCAAGTGAATATAGAGAAGACACTGGTGAAGAAGATACCTAACCAACACCACCACCACCACCACCAACAACAACAACAACAAGCTCCAATCAACATCAACAGGAGAAACTTAAAGGAAGTAGCCTCCTTCAACTGCACCTATCTAGGCAGCACTGTTTCAACTACACGTGGCACACACGAAGACGTCAAAGTCAGCCAGCATCGGAAAGACAGTAAGACAGGCCTTCATTAGTCCGAAACCAGTGTGCAGATCTTCTGCACTGCACTGCACTCAGCATGAAGCATGAAGCGTGAACAACATCCAGATTTTTAACACCAATCCATTCAAGTAAGTGCTTCTATATGGTTCAGACTTGGCGCGTTACGAAAGGGATTTCCAACAAACTACAGATATTCATCAACAACTACCTACACTGGCTCGTTAGTGAAGATGAGATCAGTGGGCCAGAAAGAATAATCAACAAGGAAGTCTGGCTGGCTGGCTGGCTGGCTGGCTGGCTGGCTGGCTGGCTGGCTGGCTGGCTGGCTGGCTGGCTGGCTGGCTGGCTGGCTGGCTGGCTGGCTGGCTGGCTGGCTGGCTGGCTGGCTGGCTGGCTGGCTGGCTGGCTGGCTGGGAACGAACCAACGAAGCAACAACCTATCGCTGAACAAATATGCAGTGGAAGGAAGTGGAGATGGGTTGAGCATACACTGAGAAGACCGACTGGTGACATCACGCGTCAGGCCAGGCCAGTTGCTCGAGTGGAACCCCGATGGGAAGCGACGAGTTGGTTGTCTGAGGTGAGGATGATATGGAGGAGATTGTGTGAGGAAGAAATGAGAGGTTGTGGGCAGTCGTGGAGCCAGGTTGAAAAGATTTCAGAGAAGAGAGTGGAATGGAGACGTGCTGATGAATCCCTTTGGTGCACTAGGAACCCAAGGGACAAATAATAATAATAAGATAATAATTTTTCAAAGGATGAATGTAGCATACATATGTCTGTAGTTCAAACCAAATTTTTGAATAAATTTATTCAGAGGACCATTTTCTAGTTTATCTAGGAAAATGTTTTGCTAATATGGGACCCCATCTACTTGTCTGTAAAATTTTGCATTACATGTGACAATAACTCTAATGGTACACATTTATGCATGTTAGAACGCTTGGATTCCAAGAAAATGTCTTCAAAAAAAGCAGTGGTTTAAGTGATAATCATACAGCGGAATAGTACATTTGAGTTGACTAAAAATATTTTGCTTCAGATGATGTACTTGAAGACATAGTCTGATGTGACTGGACATTTTAGCTTATTCAGTTAGCATAACAGTCACAAATCCTTTATGAATTTCTGTCATTTTCAAAACTTGTCTCATTATGTCAGATCATCGTAACTTTCCGCATTTAGTTAGTGTGATGATTGGGTGAAAAAAGAGGCTTTGAAGTTCTTCTCTCTACCTGTCCCTTAGAAATCATTGTTTTTCCAACTAAAATAAAGCATTAGTGTTATTACTTGCGATATACCGTCGTTGATTGAACCAAATTGATCAGTCTCTATTGGCATATGGGCTCCAGCGTGGATGCCTCGATATTGCCCGTGTTTTAAATTATATGTATAAACTATACCCATCGTACAAGAAGTGGCTGTCGTCGCTCGCTGGTGTAGTGGATAACCCTCTGACATTTGAAGCGATCGACCCCGAGTTAGAATCCTGGTGGGAACAACATCACTAACTGGAAGGCAGGTGCATCCAGATGACGAATCCCAAATAGGACGAAGTGCGCATCCTGGATTCCTCTACTAGACACTGTCCATCACCACTATAAAATAAAGTTTCATGTTTGTTTTTCGATAAAAGAAGAAGAATTTATTGAACATACATTTTTATCTATGCACTTATTTCTTGGTGCATGAAGATGATGAAATTAAGGTCTGATTTTCTCCAACTCGTTATGATAATGATCTCGTTCAATTTTCAAACACTGTAATTCCGCTTGCAAAACCTAAATCATCCTACATATAAAAGTAGTATTCATTATGGGCTGACATCAGTTGGGGAACTATTGAAAGTCTGGGAGCACTGGACAGCTGTTTCGTCCTAGTATGGGACTCCTCACCACTACGTACCCACTACCCGGCTAGAAATCTAACTCGAGACCTTCAGGTTTCACCGCGAACGTTCTAACCATTCAGCCACTGGGTCAGTTTCCAGTGTTTCACAATTTCCAACTTCTGTCAATTCGTCATATAGCGCGACCATCACTCAAGGTCTTCAGTTAGCATCCGCTTCACTTCCGACTGGTTGACCCCACAGGTCATGTCTTTTCATTAGAGCTTCGTGATATCCATCTGAAAGCAAGCCGCGACGCGGGTGCGTACTGCTGAGGAGTCCTATACTAGACTGAAACAGTTGTTTAGTGCTCCCAAATATTCAATAGTTATCTAACTGATGTCAGTCCATGATGAATACTACTTCTAAATTAAAATCCCCATTCATTTCAAAGATTTATATATATATATATATATATTCGAGGAGTCCTTGGAATGGTGTAGATAAAAAGAAACATGATTGAAATGAAATGAAATAGTGCAAACTGAAACAAAAATAGGTTACTTTATGGTTAAAAATGTTTGTAATAGGTGGTACATACATGCACAAAGTGTTTACCATGTAATAACTGAAGTTCTCACCTTTAGAAGTTGTATGCTTACATCGTTGATAAGTGTTAGCAAAAATAGGTCAAAACAAAAGATAATTTAGCCTGTTCTTAACAAAGAAATAATAAATAAAAAACAGCTAACTAGTATTTATTGTCAAATAAATTGTTTAGTTCACGTCATCTTAAAATATCCTTCAAAGTCAATCTATTCTTACTAATATATGTGATGTTTATGTGCCAACATTACTAGTCAAACTTAATATTTGAGAGCTATTGGTGTTATAATAACTGCCTGACCAAGTCCAAGTAGGTAGTTACGCAGTGTGGTTTATAGTCTACAGCATACCCCTGGGTTTATTTGCATTGCACTGTATAAATCGATAAGCAGTCAGGAATCTAGGCGGATATGTACACTTCAAACTCATGCAAACTGCAATAACAAATTATATGAATATTAACGGTCAATGTGTTTTCTGACTGATACTGACATGAGTTTAAGTTGGTACACTTCACAGTGGTACACAAAGAACACGTAGATCGAAGATGACCGATATCAAAGAAGACGAAGTTGTGTGAGAGAATTAACAGTCTAAAGAGAATGGTTGGCACAAATATTCACACTTAAGATGTTAAGGAGTGAATACATCTTCTTCACTGTGACCAATTTTCAGACATCGGGAACCCCAGCTAGACAGCATACATCTCTTCACACTGCTCAGACCAACAGTTGGGGACTTCACCGACTGGTGCTACGTGTTGATCTCGCCACCCTCAACCTTCATGCAATCTAATCTAACTTCCCTTAACATGACAAATCGAGGTAGGCAGTGTCTCGGTATGCGCATTACATGTCCAAGTCATCTCAGTAGACTGAAGTTCACAACCTCATCAATCAATTTGCCTGTCTTACCTCACCCTTTGTCTGACCTCAAGATTGCTGACATGGTGATCCTACAAAACGTGAACGGTGCTACGAAGACATTTGTGATCAAAACCCTGTAGTTGGCTCATTTCTTCTACAACAATGTGCATTCAGTGTCAACAGCTTAGTTTTATCTTGACATAATTAAGTAAACTTCAGCCTGTTACATTTTACCACGTAGTCTTACTGATAAATATTATAAAGCACAAGGAAAAAAAACAAGCATATTATCAGCTGTTTTTTTAAATTCAAACTGTTTTGGCGCTGGTTGTTAAATTTCGACACCGGCTATATGACTTTAATCAGAGGTTCTTAAACATACGAGAATATCATCTAGTTTTGCTACAAACACAGAAGTAATTGATACCATGGAACAAAAGCGGACCTTCTTTGATTCTAGTTATAAAATATATACAACAGGAATCTCACTCTAAATTGGTATTCATCGTGGGCTGACATCAGATGTAGGAACAATTGGAAACTTGCGATCAGTGAACGGCTGTTTCGTCCTGGTATGTGACTCCTCAGTAGTGCTTACCCACGACCCTGTGACCTTCAGGTCCCCTGGCCAGCACGTTACCACTGTGGCAGTTGGTAGAAATCCAACGGTCCATATTTCCAGCTTCTATCAGTTCACGACACAGTGTGACCGCCACCCAATATCACTGTTGAGTATTTGTCCACACGGCCACCAGGTTTGCTCCACTGGTCATAACTTTTTATAAGAACTTCGGAACCCTAAATCCCCACAAATTTAAATGAACTAGTGCTCATTGGTGACTAGCTTTGAGAGGTGAATCCCGAAGTTCCAATGGGAAGTCGTAACCAGCGGAGCAAACCTGGTAGCCATGAGGACAAATACTCAACAATAACATTGGGTGGCGGTCACGCTGTGTCGTGAACTGATAAAAGTTGAAAATATGGACCACTGGATTCCGACTCATTGGCTCAATGGTAACGTGCTGTCCATGGAACCTGAAGGTTACGGGTTCGATGCCTGGAGGGTCGTGGGTGCGTACTGGTGAGGAGCTCCATGCTAGGACGAAACAGCTGTGCAGTGCTCCCAGGTTTCCAATGTTCCTCCAACTAATGTCAGTCAACAATGAATACCAACTTTTAAAAATCTCTTAATCCCCACAAACCCTCAAATTCAGTCTGACAAATCAAGAACCCATAGTATAAGTATTTTAGGCACAGATATAAAATGACTGCAAACTTATGCTATTAAATATGTTTGAGAAGGTAGATACTCTTGTACCTTATGAAAACAAAGCAGAAACATACTTTACAGTCCCATTTTTCATCTTTGTGAACTTCTGCAGATCGTGAACGTCGAAGTTGAGGTTCATAAAAATGTTTCATCGTGTTAATATGCTCCGTTGTATCTTTCAGTTCATCTAATGATACTTTATTTTCACCAGTTACAAAACCATTCTTATGAAAATAACCTGATAAACATCTTAAATTGTCCGTTAAAAGTTCTAGCTGTGAATAAAAATAATTCCATTCAACTTTGATAGTATTCAAATGTTTTTCCATAGACTTCCTAATTTCATTACCATCACAAGTTGACTGTTTACTATGAGATGATGAAGAAAGTATACACTTTGACAGCTCATGAGTAAAATCGCAGCCTGAAAAAGTCAACATTCAATTGTTTATTTAGTAATGTAACAAATAAATCTAAAATTAAAAAAGGTATAAGTAAATCATCACCTCATAAGAACCGATAAACAAAAAAATGAAGCATCAATGAAAAAGTGAAAGTAATCAACTAATGATATAAAGTTAGAGTGATTTTAAAGGCCACTCTAGTTACAATTGAAACAACTAATCAGGGGTGACTTTAAAGGCCATCTTAGCAACTGATGGGACAGCCGATTACATTCCTTCATTTTATGAAGAAGTACTTTTCCAGGCGGAATACTGAAGCCTGATTGGTCATTTCATCAGTTTCTAGGGTGGCGTTTAAATCAACCCCCAATTAAACATTTTCATTTTATGAAAATGTCTTTCCGGCCGAAATTGAGAAGCCTAATTGAGCATTTCGATTGTTGCCACAGTGGCTTTTAAAGTCGCCTAACTTTAAAGGCGCTATGAATATTAACTCAGTGACCAGTGTCAATCAGATCCAAGAGTATTGGGCTTCGTATCGATCTGATTCGCCCTTTACTTAGACATGAAGGATGATGCTCGGCGATTTGACGACAGACATGCCTAGCTGTACGTCCAATGTAACTAGCTGCATAGGAGCAGTTGAACTGGTAAATACACACAGGAGAGGAGAAGCTAGTTAATCTGTCTTTGATTCGCGTGGTCATCATCCGCCGACTGTAGAATACACATAACATACATAACTTTGTGGCATTAAATGATCTCATGGCGTTTCTTAGGCGCTGCGTCACAATTTAGCTGATGATGTCACCTCGAAATTGTAGTCTTAGGAAAAATGGTGTCACGGAGACTGTTGGTATTCTGGTTTTCATATTTTTGGTCAGAAACGTTTTTGGATTTCCATTACTACTGAGTTCTGAAGTTCTTCATCAAAACTATCATCTGAACAGATAAGTCTTGCCCGGTGGACCAAAAGTTTGACTAGATTACATTTACATTGTTACCATGAACAATGAATGTACACTTTCTATTCAACAAGGAATTCTATAGACAGTCAGACGGTGTCATTATGGGGTCACCATTAGGCTCAAACTTAGCAGAATTTTTTGTAGAGAAATTAGAAAATGGCCCTCTAGAAAGTATCATAAGCGGGTTAGAATTTTACTACCGTTATGTAGACGATACATTCTTGACTGTGAATAACGAGAACGATGTAAGCATTATACTGGATAAATTTAATAGTGTCCATCCAGCGATAACCTTTACCATTGAGAGAGAAAGTGACGACAGCATCACCTTCTTAAATGTCCGATTAACAAGGAAGGTGGATGGAATTGTAAAAAGAAGTGTATATCGGAAACCAACTTCAGCAAGTCAATACATCCATTTCTTGAGTTTCGTCCCCTTGTAATACGGTTGGACTATTTATGTCTTTCCAACAGTATATTTTACAACCTTCCTTTTGGTTATTATTATTATTATTATTATTAGTCCCTTGGGTTCCTAGTGGAACATAGGGATTCAGTAGCACGTCTCCAGTGACCTCTGTCCTCTGAGATCTTTTGAACCTGGCTCCACGACAGCCCACAAGCTCTCATTTCCTCCTCGCACGACCTCCTCCATGTCACCCTCACCTAGGAAGTCCAACTCGTCGCTTCCCATCTGGGTTCCACTCGAGCAACTGGCCTGACGCGTGATGTCCCAAGTCAGCCTTCTCAGTGCATGCTCAATCCATCTCCACTTCCTTCCACTGCATATTTGTTCAGCGATAGGTTCTTGCTTCGTTGGTTCGTTCCCACAGCTCCTTGTTGATTATTCTTTCTGGCAATCCATCTGATCTTCAGTAGCGAGCGTAAGCAGTTGTTGATGAATGTCTATAGTTTGTTGGAAATCCCTTTCGTAACGCGCCAAGTCTCTCAACCATCACATAGAAGCACTGGCTTCCATGTATCGGTGTTGAAAATCCGTATCTTGTTCTACATGCTGAGTGCAGAAGATCTCCACATTGGTTTCAGACTAATGAAGGCCTGTCTTGCTTTTCCGATTCTGACTTTGACATCCTCATCTGTCCCGCCTGTAGTTGAAACAATGCTTACTAGATAGGTGAAGGAGGTTACTTCCTTTAAGTTTCTCCTGTTGATGGTGATTGGAGCTTCTTGTTGTTGGTGGTGGTGGTAGTGGTGTTGGTGCGGTATCTTCATCACCTCTGCCTTCTCTACGTTCACCTGAAGGAAGTCCCGTCTTCGCTACCCTCCCCTGCCCTGCCCTGCCTCTTCTCTCAACTCGTTAGTTTTCGCCTGTAGATCTTCAAGTTTATGTGACATCAGGCACAAGTCATCATTGGCGAAATCCAAGTCTTCTAGGTTCTTTCCCACAGTCCAGCGTATCCCCCTCTTCTCACAGCTCCCCACTGTTTGCTGCATGATCCAGTCGACCACAATCAGAAATATCATGGGGGATAGTAGACAGTCTTGTTTTACTTCTGTCTTCACTTCAAAAGCATCACTGAGCTTCCGTTGTGAATTACTTGGCATGTGGCGTCTTCATATAGTTGTTGAATGAGGTTGATAAAGGTTTGTGGTATTCCGTAGTATTGAAGCAGTTTTCAAATTACCTCTCGTTCGACGCTGTTGAAGGCCTTCTCAAAGTCGATAAATTTGAGGTAGAGAGTTGACTGCCATTCTATACTCTGTTTTATGAAGATGCGAAGCGTTGCAATTTGGTCGGCATATGATGTGTACTTCCTGAATCCAGCCAGTCTGCCTGTTCCGGTCGTAGTTTTGAATCCAGCGCATCCTTCAGCCTCTCCAGGATGATGCGGCTTAATATTTTACTTGGGGTGGACAGGAGAGTGATTCCGCGCCAGTTCTTGCAAAGACTTAGGTCTCCCTTCTTCGGGAGTTTGACAAGGTAACCCTTCTTCCAATCAATGGCCAGGTACCTTCTCTTCCTTCCACCCCTTCTGCAATAGTTGTGCCAGCATGTCCGCTGTTGTCTCTGCGTCTGTTTTCGGTGCTTCTGGTGGGATCCCATCTGGTCCTGCTGCTTTCCCGCATTTCAGTAGCTTTATGGCGTTCAGGACTTCCATTTTCGTTGGACTATTCCTTTTGATTGCTTATTATTTATTATCACTGCAAACAGTTTACGGTTCCAACATAACTATTTATTGGTAGAAGTTAACTGACTAATCTATACACTTTCATGACCTACGTATAAACCACCTATTTCAGTAAATTACCGAACGCTTTGAGTGAGATATTCACAAGTATATGTGCATGAATCAAGCAATTGTTACGATAATATTAATCTTGCCTTCTATTGAACACAAGTTCAGATGCAAAACCTTGTAAGGAGACAGTGTGTATGATATACGAAACCACTCAAGTGTTCAGTCAAGCAGCTATAGTTCATTAGTCTTGGTAGTTGATTTCTAGTCACTAGGTTCCGGATTGGAACCTCATTCCTACTACCAAGCTTCAGACAGCCAGGTAGTATCATTATCTCTTGTTAAATATATGTGACTTATTGCCTAGAGTACGAATATGCATATGGTTGACAAGAGAATCATTTAGTTGGCTAATGTCTGCTTGGCGGCTATCAGTGAAACCCACGATGCGTGTTTCATCTTATTTGGGACTCAACAAATTGGATGTGCCTGCACCCCAATGAGACTCCAACCCAGTATTCCATCGCTTCAAACCTGAAAGCATTACCCACTATACAACTGGAGTACGAGAGCCACTTCTTGCGCAGTGGGTACCAGTTGCTATTTTAATATTTGCAATCTCTCGTTGCTACACTGAGTCGGATTGCTTAACCTCTGTTAACAGATGAGTTAGTTAGTTAGTTCGATAACGATTAGAAGGGGAATAAAAATATCATGATGAAGTATATTCCAAAAGGCCTAACTACTAAGCGGGTCTAAGCTTTCACTGGGCACAAGAAACTGCGTATACGCTTCGAAGTCATCCATTATAAAATACTAACAAAATAGTAAAATTCTTCATCTATTTTCTGAGGTCACTGTAATATAACATCAAAAACTTAGATCTATATATTCAAACGGAATTATTCTCATGTGTCCATCTTGATATCCTATGCTATGAAAAGTTGAATTAGGTTGAAAAAGGGTTCAGGTTGAACAGAGCAAAATATGACACCAGTTGTTGAAGTCTCTCACTGCTGGTTTAAGCCGTACAAAGACATTGCTTGGCTGACTCCCCGGAGATGGTAGTTGTTGAGAACTCTTGGTGACATGACTAAAAATTTGTCACAATGGCGTGGATGCATTCACTGCTTGACATCTCCTGAAGCTTGAATATTCATATTAACCATTACATTTAGAGGGTTTATTCTCTCACACAACTTTGTCTACTTTGATATCAGTCATATTCAATCTATTTGTTATTTGTGTACTGCTGTCAATTATGCCAACTTAAACCAGTGCACCTGTAAGCAAGGTTCTGCATTCGGCTTCCACTCGAGGGCCTGACGCGTGATGTCTCCAAACTGTCTTCTCAGTGTATGCCCAATCCAATTCATCTCCACCTTCTTCTGCATATTTGTTGAGGGGTGGTTGTTGATTCGTTCGTTGCCAGGCCACACTTCCTCCTTGCTTATTCTTATTATTCTGGCCATCTGATCTCATCTTCAGTATCAACTGAGCGTAGAAGACAGCTATTCATGTATCTCTGTAGTTTGTTGGAAATGCTTTTCTTGATGCGCAAGTCTCTCAACCATCACATAGAAGCAGTCACTTACTTGAATGACTAAGTGTTGAAAATTCGGATCTTGTTCACGCTTTATTCTAAGTGCAGTGAGGTGCAGTGTAGTGTAGTAGATCTCCACACTGATTTCAGGTTAATGAAGACCTGTCTTGCCGTCTTTCCGATCCCGGCTTTGACATCCTCATCTGTGCCGCCACCACCAGTAGTTGAAACGATGGTGTTTAGGTGGGTAGGTGAAAGAGACTACTTCCTTTAGGTTTCTCCAGTTCATGGTCATTGATGCTCGTTGTTGATGGTGGTCGTGTTGGTTGGGTATCTTCATCACCTCTCTCTTCTCTACCTTCAACTGAAGGAAGTTCTGTCTTGGCTGCCCTACCTCTCCTGCCAACTTGTTAGTTTTCGCATGTAGATCGTCGAGTCTGTGAGATAAGACATTAGACGTAAATCATTACCGTTGGTGAAATCAAAATCTTCTATGGTCTTTTCATCAGTCAAACAGTGTATGCCCATCTTCTCACACCTCCTCACAGTTTCTTGCATGATCTAGTGCAGTCCAGTTCAGTCGACCACAATCAGAAAGATGATCGGTGATGATACTAGACAACCTTATCTTACTCTTATCTTCACTTCAAAGGCACCACTGAACCTTCAGTTGTGAATCACTTGGCATGTAGCATCATATAGAATATAGCTGTTGAATGAGGTTGATAAAGGTTTGTTGCACTAAAACCGTAGTTTTGAAGCAGCTGTCTGCCAAATTACTTCTCGGTCGACGCGTCGATTGAAGGCTTAATCAAAGTCGATGAAGTTGAGATAGATTGTTGATTACCATTCTGCTCTCTGTTCTATGATGATGCGTAGCGTAGCGTTGCAAGCTGATCCCACATGATTTGTTCTTCCTGAAGCCAGCCAGCCAGCCTGTTCCGGTAATGATTTTGAATAGGGAGCATTTTTTTTTGTCTCTCTAGGATGATGCGGCTTAATATCACACCTGGAATGGTCAGGAGTGGGGCACGATTCCGCGCCAGCTCTTGCAAAGACTTAGGTCTCTCTTCCTTGGAAGTTTGACAGAATAGCCCTTCTTTCAATCGAAAGGTACCTTTCCTTCCTTCCAAACCTTCCGCAGTAGTGGTGTGAGCATGTTCGCTGTTATCTTCGGGTCTGTTTTCAGTGCTACTGGAGGAATTCCATCTGGTCCTGCTGCTTTCCTGGCTTTCAGCAGCCTTATGCAGTTCAGGACTTCTGCTTTTGCCGGAGCCAAAAAATGTACTTAGGTTCAATAATTGTAGATTCCGTGTTGATATTAACTGATTGTCATCGATGAAGCCAGTAAAATTCTTTTCTCTCAAGTAGTATTTCCTCGGTCTTTAATAATATACTGAAATTTATAATTCATCAATCATGACTTCATTATTGATAGCTATATTTAGGAGAGAAACGTTACTGTACAATTATTCGTTCTCAGCTGTTCATCAAAAAGAAATGGTCACATATGATGAAAATAAAAAAGAGAGTCATAGCTTTTAAGTGTATTGTAAGCATTTTATGATATTTTATCATCAAGAAGAGATTGCATTAATTACGCGTAAGATGCTTATCTTATAGTTTGTTTTGATTGTTTAATTTCAGTTTTTATACTAACCTCTAGGAGACATCTCTTGTATGACGGTCAAAATTATTTAAGCTGATTCACAGACTAGGATGAGTAGATACAGGGTCATATCAACAAACACTTTATTTTAATTTAGAAGTACTATTCATCATGGACTGACATCAGTCTGGGAACTATTGGAAATCTGGGAGCACTGGACAGCTGTTTCGTACCAGTATAGGACTCCATACCAGTACGCACCCACGACCCGGCTAGAAATCGAACTCAAGACCTTCAGGTTTCACAGTGAACGTTCTAACCATTCAGCCACTGGGTCGGTTTCCAGTGGTTCACAATCTCCAACTTCTGTCAATTCACGACATAGCGCGACTTTCACCCAAGGTCTTCAGTGTGTACTGCTGAGGAGTCCCATACTAGGACGAAACAACTGTCCAGTGCTCCCAGATTTCCAATGGTTCCCCAACTGATGTCAGTCCATGATGAATACTACTTCTAAATTAAAAATTCCCATTCATCTCAAAAATACATTACTTTATTTTAAATTTGAACACCTTAACTGGGGTTTAAGACTCCGCTCTACTAACCCACATATCACAGTAAATTAAACTCACTTTTAGTAATAATTGACTGTGAACTTTGAGTTAAACATTGTCGATTATTTTCAAATTTTTCAATCAAATCACAAATTTCTTTCTAAGAAAAACAGTAAATAATGAAAACAAAATATTCAAATTAGTAAAAAGGAAAATGAAGTAACTAACTTACTGGGTATGATCTATGTAAAGGAAATAGATGAAACGATTAACCCTTTTCATATACTTCTAGAATGCGATTAGAAGTCGAAATTTAGCTGAAACATAGGATATATTAGTACAATATATTTCAAACATTTCGGTTGTATCGTGTTATCTGAGCTATCATCGTCTTGCTAGAAAACATCATCACCACTAACCTCAGTATGAAGTGACCTGTCAATAGCTCTCCATGAGTGTTTACCTGCTTGCCCTGACCAACTGTTTTCTGATTGCCTGTCTCCATTTGATTAGTGTGTCATTGACTGACTGCATAGATTCTCCTGTTGGCTGTTCCTCTGCTTCACCTCTGACCTTTCTGTTGTTTATCATTTCTCTCACCGGTTGATAGATTGGGTCTGTGTCTATACATCTATTGATTGTTGACTGACTGACTGATATGAATGCAAAGCTTCTAGTAATTATCTGATATTCTTTGTGTTCCCTCTCTCCGTTCAAAATGTCTACATTGTCGAAATTGAGTTCATGTCCATAGTTGTTATCCAGGTTGCATTGAAATGAATGATGAAATGTCGTATGTGACGTTTAACAGCCAGTTGGTGTTCATGTAGACGAAGGTGAAGGTGGGCGATCACTTCATCCAATGTAGTGTCGACTACAGTTATTGCAGTTGATTTTGTAAATGACAATCGGTTTGTCTTCTTTAGCTGTTGAATCATTTGCTTCACATAATAACGTATGGACGGAATTTGTCGGTCTGTGAGCCACATCAATTCCAAGTGGTCTCAGTAATCTTGTCGTGATTTCTGATATATTCTTTATGTATGGTAGGAAGATGCATTTATCGATTTCTATCCATGACTTTGTAGTTGATGATGTACGGGATAGGCATCTTCTTATAAAGTTTCGTGGGTAAACGTTCTTCTTCAGGATGGACATCAGGTGATTTTTTTTTATTTCTCCGTGAAGTCGTTGCATTGCAATATGTTCTCACTCTTTTGAATAGAGTCTGTATGCAACTGATTTTGTGCGTTGTTGGGTTGTTGGTGCTGTAGTGGAGGATTTCATCACTGTGTGTTGGCTTCCTGTATACTTGGGTTTCCAGTTTCGCAACATTTGTCCTACTAACTAAGACATCCAGGAGTGGTAGTTGGTCTCCCACTTCGCTTCCGTCTACATGAACACCAATTGGCTGTTAAACGTCACATACGACATTTCATCATTCATTTCAATGCAACCTGGATAACAACTATGGACATGAACTCAATTTCGACAATGTAGACATTTTGAACGGAGAGAGGGAACACAAAGAATATCAGATAATTACTAGAAGCTTTGCATTCATATCAGTCAGTCAGTCAACAATCAATAGATGTATAGACACAGACCCAATCTATCAACCGGTGAGAGAAATGATAAACAACAGAAAGGTCAGAGGTGAAGCAGAGGAACAGCCAACAGGAGAATCTATGCAGTCAGTCAATGACACACTAATCAAATGGAGACAGGCAATCAGAAAACAGTTGGTCAGGGCAAGCAGGTAAACACTCATGGAGAGCTATTGACAGGTCACTTCATACTGAGGTTAGTGGTGATGATGTTATCTAGCAAGACGATGGGAACTCCACAATTAAACGACTCAGCGCAGAGAGCACAATACAACCAAGACCATCTACCTAAGCTGCAAATATTCCCTAGCATTTCCAAAGTTCAACTATTCTTATCAAATCATCCTCTACTATTGTACAGCTACAAAAGGATGATATCGGCAAAAACTAATTTGTTCGCTGAAGTCTTTATTCTTTTATGATTCAATGTATTTAGAATATACTGACTGTATATTTGCTTGTTAAGTCAATTCAATTGGAGAATTTACACTTAATAACACCAGATGAGTCAACTGAGATCAACAAAAACGGGGTAGTGAAATTGAAATAACATCGTATTCGCAGCATTTTTAGCACTGAACTCATGTAAAATTAAACCAGAACAACACTTAATTTACAATAAGTTGGTTCTAGCACAGAAGGGAGATAACAACGATTCGATAAATCCTAGTATGCATCTATGAAATGTTTGACATCATAGTTTAAATCATTTGTCTGATTGACTTTCTGATGTTTCTAAGGCTTCCACCGACAGATTATGATGGATGTCTAACATTTGTGTTCATTGCAGTGAAACTTTTTCTGTACGCTTTGAAGATTTGTTTGGCCAATTTGTATGAGAGAACTGCATGACAATTTTCTGATGACTAGTTTGACTGCTACCCCCGCCCACCCACCACCCACCTCAGATAAACACATTACGAAAAAGCAGAAACACAAATATGATGACCATTTCGCGCTACATGAAATATACACTGTGACATGAAAATAGATAATCCAGTGAGAAAGAGAGAGGCTTCAACAATCCACTAACTGTAGACCAACAATGCAATGTAATTGAATACTTTAAGAAACCACTTTCTTATTTACTCTTGTTACAACCAAAAACACAATACAAGAGAACTTGGAAAAGGTAAATATTTTCTGAATTAGGTATATACAAAACCTCAAGTAACTCAAAGTCATCAAGTTATTTTTTTCTATTTGAAGGTCTATGGGAATTTCTTTATTGATGTCAAGTTGATATTCATCATGAAGTGACATTAGTTGGAGAAACATTGAAAACTTGGGAGAAATAGACAGCGCACCCATGACCCCATCCGTTTATGACTGACCAAGACAGTTACTCACCAACCGTATTGGATGGAGGTTGAGCTATATAGTGAACTGACAGAAGTAGGAAATACGGATCACTGAACTCCGACCCAGCAGCTCAATGGTAACATGCCGGCCGCAAAAACCTGAAGGTCCTCAGTTCAATTACTTTTTTCCAGTAGAATAGTCCTTAATCATGTAAGATGTTTAAAGTTAGCGCATAATGAAAGATGAACTTGCATTTTTTCTCCTTGTTGACATATATGGGTGCGTTGAATCCACAACATTGAAAAATAAATCGTTTTATCTCATAATCCCATTGTGACTAGTATTGAGCAACGAAATCAGAGAATAGACTTTTATATAGCATTGGTTCATTGAATGATAAGTATTGTAGTTAATAACATCCAAGTGAATATATATCATGTCAACTTAGCTTACTGACCACTCTATACATTTAACCGATTGATTGTGATTAGCGTTTAGGATTTAATAACTACTGACTGATTCATGTAGTCACTGATGATAATCTATATTTAAACAGCGTAATGAGAACACGAAGATTATCTAAAACATGTCGTGATGTATTAGCGCTATACATTTCGAACAATCTGATCACACATGGACTTGTCCAACTATTTATATGAAAATTTACGAAAACGTCAATGAAGTTAATGGGAAACATAGGAATAGGAAGGGATAGAAAAGGAAAACAAAAACCTTATTCTCGGTATGAAAATTAAAATCAATACACCATCAAGGTAGGTTCAACGTGAGTACAAATTGTTTTTGTATACATAAAGGGGGTTTAAATTGACGGATGGCAAGAGCTTCAATAAATTTAAGCACTAGGCTCTGACCACTTTTATGTAGTACTTTAAAGGCTGTTTTCATGTCTATCCTATGGTTAGTTTCTAGTCTATGTCTAGCGATAGACGAAGATGGATGTTTGTCACCTGCACTTATCGGATCTGTTGAGGTCATTTGTTTTTGTAGCCACTTAGGTACATGTTCAACCTTCCTTAACTGCATATCACGATTACTCCTCCCTATATAGGTGTGTCCATACATACATGTAAATTGATAAACACAGTGGGATGTGATGTAATCGTTTATATGTTGTTTCGGTTTGTGGTGTAACATGGACTTGGTCTTCTCTATAATGATGACCTTAGCTGCATAATACGTTTTACAGATGGCCGATCTAAGTCTTTTCCTCACAACAAAGCTATGTGAATCACCTCTAAATGGTAATGAGATGTAGACATTTTTCTTAGCAACAGAACACTGTATACTTTTCAATGGTACATAACTTTTGCACCGGTCGATAAATCTCAACGGGTATCCATTCTGTATCAGAGTTGTCGTCAGTAAGTTGGCTTCTTCCTCCCTGGTGTCATCGGTGCAGATACAGTTTATCCTGTTAAATAAACATCTGACTAAACCACGTTTATATTGGACTAGACAATAGCTATGGAAATTAAGATATTGCCCTGTCCATGTAGGTTTCCTATAGATCGACCTCCTGATCAAGCCATCCTCCCGTCGACTGAGCAATACTTTCTTTCCATGTGTGATCAGATTGTTCGAAATGTATAACGCTAATATATCACATGTTTCAGATAATCTACGTCTTCTCATTAAATTTATCAAAGGGACCATTTGCTTTAAATAATCTATATGATAAATCATTAATGTGTAGACATATTGGATTTCATCAAAACATAGCTTGAAGAGTCAGCTTCCAATTTGGAGCATTTATACGACAATTCATTTATAGGATCAATGTTCATGTATCTATTGATTATTATTACTAAAGACAATATCAACCAAGTAAAAACCAATAGTTCTAATATGATATTAAAAAAAACAGACATGAAGTCAATAGTGGAGGTTACAATAGGTATTAAGCAAAAATCGCCACTACTCACAAGCCAATACCATATAGTATCGATGAATTAACACCTACAATTTTCGTAAAATTAAGTGAAAGTATAAAATTTTTATCAAAAATACTAGTTACCTTGAATAATTTCATTGATATCTGATAATTTACACAAGATAACTCATCTATAGAATTTATTTGACATGAATTATCTAGTTGAATAGAATTTTGACAAGGTGATGTTTGACACTCTTTATTAACTAAATTCATTATAGACTGTTTATTATGAATTTGTCTATTAACTAATTCTATATTATATGCTTCTAATTCAGCATTTCTACATTGTAATAGATCAACATGTATTTGTAATTGATTTATTAATTGATCAGATTGTTTTTCATTGGAAACATTCATTAAATTATCTAATGATCGACCAATTTCTAAAATATTTCGTAATCGTTCAATTTCACTATCTCTTAATAGAATCTAATTAAGAAAATAAAATGAGTATCAGTTATGTAATAAGTTAAAATCCAAATTATTATGATTTACACTTTTATAACATATATATATATATATATATATATATATATATATATATATATATATATATATATAATTCAGCGTTGAGACTCTTTTCAACGAATTTATTTTCAAGCTGTACAATCTATATATATGGTATTTGGAAAAAAATTATATCCTTTGAGGAAAACTAAACACTATATGGTGATATAGGCATTTATGATTATAATAACAATTGAAGTGTGAATGATAACAAATAGATTATGTACTATATGAAATGATGTATAGAGAGTTCAGTTCACCTGCTCTTGTAGAGCAAGGTACATCAGCCGTAGCCAGAGAATGCTTTCTACACGTATACGAAACATGTTCTTGCTTGGTTTTATAAAGGTGGAAAAGAAAGTCTGTTAGAAGTTCAATTGTAGAATATTTGATTGACTTCCATCACACAACAAATCCAGATGATGACTTTGAAATTATTTATCAAATTCGCCCAAACCTCCCACGTTCTCTTCGTTTTCAACTTCTTAAAACAGAGGAGGCTTTAGCTATTCATGAACTAAGACCTGATCTGTGTGTGTACAAAAGAAGTATGTGCAGTCACTGTCTTTATCATGGCCATAACATTTTCCCACCCCATTAACTCCTCCTCCCACTTTGTTAATTTAACCTTTGTATCCTTCCTTTATCACTATTATTGTTATTATAATCGCCTTCACTTTAACTAGTTTCCGGTGTTGTTTCACTTAATTGTCTTAATCCTTTTAGAAAACATTGACTTCATCTTGTCCAATTTGTCTAATGCCATTACGTAATACTTAATTGATTCACCATTTTCAGCAATTTTTTCACCCCCTTCGGAGTTATATACTCTCTATACACCATTTCATATATTACATAATCTATTTGTTATCATTCGCACTTCAATTGTTATTATAATCATAAATGCCTATGTCATCATCCGCTCTATGATTATTCTCATCATCACCATATAGTGTTCAGTTTTCCTCACAGGACATAGTTTTTTTCCAAATACCATATATATACGATTGTACAGCTTGAAAATAAATTCGTTGAAAAGAGTCTCTTCGCTGAATATCTTGTTCTTGATGTTACAATGGGAATTATTAAATTATATATGTAATTTCATGTACATTGTGAAAAAGCATTACCATAGAGTCTTTTCAAGTTTTTAGACAGAAAAGTATCTAGAAAAGTCTACGGTCAATCATCATCATTAATATCAACATAGGACCAGGCATTACTGCGTAACGGTGCGACTTGTCACACCTCATATCACTATATCAAGTAGAAAGGTAGTGAGGTGAAATATAAAGTATTTAAAAAGAAAAAGGAAGAATGAGAAATTGGTGAGAATCAGTATAGCGTCGTTAAGATGAGGATGACAACGGTTCTCAACCACGTGATCACCTAGAGTCTCCAACCACTGGTTCCTGTTGTCTCGCCGACCCCAACCACCTAGTCTGCATCACCCCACATGACTGAAACCAACAGTCAAAGACTTTATACATTGGTGCCATGTTTTAGTCTGGTCATCTCAGGCCTTTTTCCAGCCTGGACCTACTTCGGCCAACATTGTGTGATGACGCAATCGGCGACAAGGTATACGTAACACTTGTCCCAACCATATCAGTCGATGAAGGCTCATAACCTCGTCAACTGATTTACCTGTACTCCGTAAAATTCTACATTGACTTCTAAATTACTCACGTGGTGACACCATGGAATATGATGGCCTATACTACTACGGCAACGGTGGTCAAACACACTCGAAGCCTTCTCATGTCTTCCACCTTCAATGGTCATGTTTCACAGCCATCCAGTAGAACAGACCGGACTTCTGGGCAGTACACGCGACCCTTAATAGACAAACGGATATCACGGCGGCGCCATAGGTGGCGTAAATTGGCAAAAGCCAACCAAGTCTTTTGCATTAGTGCAGAGATTTCATCGGCCACTGAGTCACCTGAGCAGCGGTCGACACACTCAACCACTTCACTGTCTGTTATTAGCCGTGGCACCGCTGAAAACCAATCCTGAAGCAACAATTTGCATTTGGGTAGTGAGAACCGTATCCCAAACACTTGAGAAAGTATCAAGTAAACACATGATGACGGTATATATATAAATATACTAATATCATATTTGTATTACGATGTCGAGTCAATCTACTTTGAGATAATTTTTTCATCATTTCAAAGAAATTATTAACTCAGAAGTGTACTGTGTTGATATATCGTTAAGTTTTCAGGTGCTTGAAGTACTTCACTTACTTTGGAAGTCGGAAAATTCCTATCGAATCAATAACCAATAAAATCTCGGCATTAATACAAATCGTTTTCTAATTAACACTATATAACTAGTCTAACAGTTAACCGATAAAAATTTTTCTTTGTTTAAACACTTACCACTTCGATTCAGTGTTATATGTTTGTTATTTATTTCTTTTATACTTACTGAAATGATTCACATTAAATATTTCATGAAACATATTAAAGCTATTATGTATGTTCTATACCTTCTCATAAAAAACCTTAATTTATCCACCATTAGGTGTACTTAAGGATTACTTTTGATCTTAGAAACGCCTAAAATTTTAAACTGCATCTCTCCCCTGTCTTAACTATAGGTAAGCTCAGATTCCTTGAATTCACTGTTAATCCTGAGGATTAGGAATCTGCGGTTGAATCCTACAAATCTCAATCGATTTTTAAATGTTTACGCTTTGTGCGGTATCACCTAGACATCTAATTAAGTACTAAGGATCGGGTGCCTTGGACAGTAGTTTATTCTTTCCTACCAAATAGCTATGGAGCATGACCATCACAGTTGAAGTACATGAGAAGGCATCAGATGTTTAAGCACTGTTGCCTTCATGTCAATGGTTGTTTATTGTAGGACCAAAACACTATGAGTGGTCTTTGGTAAAAGAGGTAAGTCTATCGATGAAGCTGGAAAGCCTCATCAGCTGATACGACAAGGCAGACTATTACGCATGCCTGGGTACCATCTACCCTAATACATGATATTAACTGAAGTAGGTATAGGTTGAAAGGAGGTTAAAGGTGTTCATACTAACACGTGGTATCAGTCCATGAAGTCTCTAACTGTTAAGCTGGATCGTGCAGAGAAACGTAAACTTCCTGGTTGGAGTATGTGTAACAATCGAAGAATCCAGGTGATATGCCTAGCAATCAAAGTCAGTGGTACAAATGCATTTACACATTTCCATCCTAATCGTCATATTTCATTTCGTTATTTCCTTTAGCTATACTCTTCCTCTCATTTTATGACTTTCTACGACATTTGATTGCATTGTTTCTACTTCTTCATCTTTCGTCTTAACGTCAGGTCTTACACTGATACTGACTGACTGACTGACCAATCACAAACCGTCACATGTTGCATGACAAGCTTACATCGATGAGTAAGAATCCATTGGCTGGTTACTGACTGTTCTTGTATCCTTGGTTGACTTATATATATAATTACTAGCTATACTATCTGAGCCATACCCTTAGCATATAACTGATTATTTACCTCATTAATGAATCTTTTTCATTATTGAATGCATACAAGAAGTTAGTTCCATGGCAGTTTAGTATTATGATCTCCAATCATTTACATTTTGAGGATAATTAACGTTCAAATTATTGATGTTGAATTCATTAGCTAAGTTACTGAGTTGAAAATTACCAGCTTGTTATCTATTCAGTTGAACATTTTAGCATTTATGCCAACGTTAAGTCATACAGTAAATCATCCATACATCAAGTATGGACTGAAACCTAGTGAAGAAACTTATAACCAAGTCGCAAAACTGTACCGATTACCTATACTTCTGATATAAAAAATAATTTCCAAAAGAGCCTTCCTATCGAATTCTAAGCTTCAGATAATTATTGTCAAGTGAATAATATGAGTCAGTTTTCAATGTTTCTCTCTCTCTCTCTCCTGCTCAGTTAAATTTTGAGAAACTAAATTACTATTCTCCTTCTGTACATTGATTAGGCATTATTTAATTATTTGTCCCTTGGATTCCTAATGGAACATAGGGATTCACCAGCACGTCTCCATTCCACTCTCTTCTCTGAAATCTTTTCAACCTGACTACACGACTGCCCACAACCTCTCATTTCTTCCTCACACAATCTCCTCTATGTCAACCTCACCTCAGACAATCAACTCGTCGCTTCCCATCTGAGTTCCACTCGACCAACTGGCCTGACGCATGATGTCACCAGTCGGTCTTCTCAGTGTATGCCCAATCAATCTCCACTTCCTTCCACTGCATATTTGTTCAGCGATAGGTTCTTGCTTCGTTGGTTCGTTGCCAGTCAGCCAGCCAGTCAGTGTTCCTTGTTGCTTATTCTTATCATTCTGACCATCTGATCTGATCTTCAGTATCGAGTGAGAGTAGGCAGTTGTTGATGAATATCTTTAGTTTGTTGGAAATCCCTTTCGTAACGCGCCAAGTCTCTCAACCATCACATAGAAGCACTGACTTGACAATGGTGTTGTTCACGCTTCATGCTGAGTGCAGTGCAGTGCAGAAGATCTCCACACTGGTTTCAGACTAATGAAGGCCTGTCTTGCTGTCCTTCCGATGCTGGCTGGCTTTGACGTCTTCGTCTGTGCCACGTGTAGTTGAAACAGTGCTGCCTAGATAGGTGCAGTTGAAGGAGGCTACTTCCTTAAAGTTTCTCCTGTTGATGGTGATTCGAGCTTGTTGTTGTTGGTGGTGGTGTTGGTTGGGTTTCTTCATCAACTCTGTCTTCTCTACGTTCACCTGAAGGAAGTTCCGTCTTCGCTGCCCTCCCCTGCCCTGCCTCTTCTATCAACTTGTTAGTTTTCACCTGTAAATCTTCAAGTTTGTGTGACATCAGACACAAGTCATCATTGGCGAAATCCAAATCTTCTAGGTTCTTTTCATCGGTCCAGCATATCCCTCTCTTCTAGCTCCTCACTGTTTGTTGCATGATCCAGTCCACTACAATCAGGAATATCATGGGTGATAGTAGACAGTCTTGTTTTACTCCGGTCTACACTTCAACAGCATCACTGAGCTTCCCATTGTGAATTACTTGGCATGTGGCGTCATTTGATCAGGTATACTAGATGCGATTAACCATAAAGCAAAAAAGTTTAGTATCGAAAGCAATTTCAAACAGGGTATTGTAAGATAGGGGGTTGTATGAAGAATATTTACATTGTTAATTATGTGATAGGGGTCAACTATAAGTATGTCAAAAACCAAAGTAGAAAAATGTTTTTATAAATTTTACCTGTTGGCGAAAATTTTCGACTTTCTTTTCGTTTAATTGTATTTCTTCTTCTAAATTGTGTATTTGTTTCTCTAATTCTTCACAACGTCTTGTTGCTATCTCTAGTAAGTTACATGTCTTTAAAAAAGGGTTACATGGAAAACTTTAGTTGATTGACTCTCTCAATACTTGACAATAAAAACTCTTGATAAGGGGAAATGAATTAGGTACTCGATAACAATGTCATTCATGTTAAATGTCTATCAAGTTGGTATTCATCATGGATAGATATCAGTTGGAGGAACATTGAAAACCTGAAAGCACTGGACAGCTGTTTCACCCTGGTATAGGACTCCTCAGCAGTGGAGAAAGTACAGACAGACTAAGGGATTGGTATTTATGCAGAGATGAGATGTTACGCTTTGGTCAAGCTTAACACATGCAGAGTGAAACTGATATGTTTATGTCTCCTAAGATAAAATAGGTCTTCTGGTTTAAAATAGCCATTTTTTACGTTGTTTGTATATTTTCATGGTGCTGACTACTAGGCAAGGAAACAAAACGCACTCAGCAACCTTATGCACATTTGTGCAGTAGGCAATGAGCCACACGTATTATGTGAAGGTTAGTCATACTTACCTTTCTGCTCAAACCTCGTCAGATGGAGCGGGTATCGAACTCATGTCTCACTGGTTGGTAGTCCTAATGGAAACCACATCATCCACTTGAAGGTGGGTACACCCAGTTGAAGAGTTTCAAACAGCACGAAATACGCGTCCTGGATTCCACTGCTAGCCACTGTCCTTCGATAATAAGGGATTTGAAAAGTACCAATAATATTGAAGTATCCGCTCAACAGAACAAATGCTCACAGTGGCTGATCAGTTTGAACCAACTGATGACGGAGATAGGCAAACTGTGCCATCAAAGATTGAAAGTAATCCCCCTAAACCACTAAACCGCATGTCTCTATTTTGGTGAAAAATTGATATTTATTTTTATCTATTCCGAATATAATTCCCCCACATTTTTTATGGCGAAAGAAAATAAATTGATATGACCATATAGGAATTAAACGGGTGTATAGTTTATCACAACCATAAGTATTACCTTAGGTATATCCTTTCCACTATTTTTAGCCCATATTTGAGCTATTGAACAACAGTAATTTTTCGTATCATTTATACGCTTAGCTTCTGTTGAAGGAGGTGCCAAACTATCAATATCCATTCGCTGACGTCTAAATGGTAACTGCTTTTTACTACCATCTGAAAAGAAAAAGAAAATTGTAAAAGCTGAGGTATTGTCCAGTGCTGATTACAGTTATCTGCAGAATTGTTCCTACTTATCTTCATCTGCATTACATGTAGGTGCGTAGCGTAGCATTGTATGATTGTGACTTTTCTTCCTTTTCAGTTGAGTCTTGCTGACATGATCCTGATCCTACAGGAGATTGCCTCCCACTGCATGAGGGCCTTCGATGCTCTTAGAGACATCATGATAGCCACCGCAAAACTCTGTGCTTGTGGTTGTCGTCTAGGTGACAATATCGGAGTAGATTATTAATTCTCCAGTTGACTGTTTGGAGAGTCCACTTCCATTCCATCCACTTTCGCAAATTCCCAGCACTTCAACGCGATACCATCTCATTTCGTTTGCAATCTGGGCTGCCTTGCTAGGTTCAAACATGGTGCGGACATTCCATGTCCCCATTCTTACTTTCGCTTTCATCGAGAGAAGACACATCGGCCAATTGGCTACCCGAAGGCTTTCACCAATCGGCGTCATTTCGCCTCTCCGATTCCAGCGAGGAATAATTTTATTTTTATTTTACATATTTTGTTTGTGCTTTGAAGTTTCTTTAGCGGTTGGATTGGTTTTACGAGATAGGGGTGCTAGCCCTATGCCCAACCTTCCCTGTTTATCCGGGCTCAGGACTGGCTAGTAACTAGTGAACTGGTTACCTAGGCGAGGTTGTATCACTAAATAGTTATAACTAATACCTATTGTGCAGGAGGTGGTTATCGTGCCTCGGTGGCCTAGTCAATAAAACTTTGGCTTCTGAAACGATGTATACGAGGTTCGAGTCCCAGTGGGGACTACATCACTTTGCACTGAGTAGCAGACGCATTTATCTGACGAGTCTCAAGTAGGACGAAACACGCGTCATGGATTCCTGTGCTAGCCACAACCAAGCATATTACCATAATTTATTTTTTTAAATTCAGGTAACACTGCGTGATGATTGAATGTGAGTGAAAATGATAGATGATCACTTACACACCACAAAGTCACGTAGCAGTCGGGCAAAAACCGTGGCGATTTAAATGAAATTAGCATCTGAATAGTAGCTAAACTCCATGGCTCTGCCGAGGGAAACCAAGTCAGTTACCTGAGTGCTACTAATTCTTAGCCTGCTGTGACCTAGATTTTTATTCCATCTTCAATCACCTCCCAGTAACATAAAATAATAGTCTGATAAACAGCGGTTATTTCTGATAGTCAAACTGATAACTGAGTTAAATAAAGTTTCAATCAAGATTTACTGTTTCTGCTAAGTTGAATGTTTCTTGTTTCCTATTTTTTTAAACCCAGCTTTTATTATTATTATTATTATTTGTCCCTTTGGTTCCTAATGGAACATAGGGCTTCAGTAGCACGTCTCCAGTGCTCTATGTTCTCTGAAATCTTTTGAACCTGGCTCCATGACAGCCCACAAGCTCTCATTTCCTCCTCGCCTGATTAACCAGTTCACTAGTTACTAGCCAGTCCTGAGCCCGGATAAACAGGGAAGGTTGGGCATAGGGCTAGCACCCCTATCTCGTAAAACCAATCCAACCGCTAAAGAAACTTCAAAGCACAAACAAAATATGTAAAATAAAAATAAAATTATTCCTCGCTGGAATCGGAGAGGCGAAATGACGCCGATTGGTGAAAGCCTTCGGGTAGCCAATTGGCCGATGTGTCTTCTCTCGATGAAAGCGAAAGTAAGAATGGGGACATGGAATGTCCGCACCATGTTTGAACCTAGCAAGGCAGCCCAGATTGCAAACGAAATGAGATGGTATCGCGTTGAAGTGCTGGGAATTTGCGAAAGTGGATGGAATGGAAGTGGACTCTCCAAACAGTCAACTGGAGAATCAATAATCTACTCCGATATTGTCACCTAGACGACAACCACAAGCACAGAGTTTTGCGGTGGCTATCATGATGTCTCAAGAGCATCGAAGGCCCTCATGCAGTGGGAGCAATCTCCTGTAGGATCAGGATCATGTCAGCAAGACTCAACTGAAAAGGAAGAAAAGTCACAATCATACAATGCTACGCTACGCACCTACATGTAATGCAGATGAAGATAAGTAGGAACAATTCTGCAGATAACTGTAATCAGTGCTGGACAAGACCCCACTCCAGTTGGCGACATCAAAATTCCAATGGGTGGGGTGACGTGAATGCCAAACTGGGAGCGGGTAACACAGGCAGAGAACACATTATGGGTTGAGAAGCACTCAGTGAAATAATAAATGGGAATGGAGCACTTGTTGCAGATTTCTGCGCATTCAGTGATTTGATTTGTACAAACACAAGGATCTTCACAAAGTGACATAGATTTGATTCCACCAGATAGACGCACTACAAATCAGATCGACTACATCTCAATCTCAAGAAAATGGAGACGCAGCTTACTGGACACGAGATCAAGAAGGGGAGCAGATGTAGGTTTACACCACTCACTATCTAGTGCAAGGAACCTACCTTCAAAATCAAATTGAAAGCCTTCAAAGAAGCTGGTGATGATATGACACAGTTCAAGTTCAACACCCAGAGACTAAAGAACGAAACTTCAAAGAATTTCTTCACATCAGTCAGCCATCAGGAAAAAATGGAGATATTAGGCAACATTCCTGAAGAAACCTCTGTCGAAGAACACTGGAACTCTTTGAAAGAGATGTGGAAGGAAACCTGCATAACCGTATTAGAAAGGAAGAAAAAACAGGGCGAGGAATGAATCTCGATGGACACATGGAAGTTAATAGAGGAGGGAGAGGAAGATGGTGAAGCAGATGAACCAGTGCATGGATGCACAACGAAAAGAAGAACTAAATCTAATGTATAAAACACTGGACAAAGAAGTGAAGAAGAGTACGCCAAAAGACAAAAGATACTTCTACAAGACACTTGAAAGTGAAGTAGAACAGGCTGCAGGTAGAATAGAACTGACAACATTATGTCAATTAACCAGGTAGGAAGAGATCAACACAGACAAAACCAATGAAAGATAGTGAAGGAAAGTTGGTTACCAAAGGGGAGAAACAAAGTAAACAATGGGCTGACCACTTCCTAGAACTCTTGAATCGACCACCAACTGCAACTAGTCCAGAAAAATCACCGGCAGCCCAGTCACAGAACTATCAGTGAACACAGGCTCTCCGACAAAAGCAAAAGTACTGCATGCCATAAAGCTGCTGAAAACAAGGAAAGAAGCAGGACCAGATAGAATTCCTCCAGAGGCACTGAAAATAGACAATGGAGGACATGCTCACACAACTACTCCAGAAGGTTTGGAAGGAAAGAAAGATACCTTTCGATTGGAGGATAGGCTACTCTGTCAAACTCCCAAAGGAGGGCGACCTTAGTGTTTGCAAGAACTGTCGCGAAATCGTGCTGCTGTCCACCCCAAGCAAAGTCTTGAGCCGCATCATCCTGGTGAAACTAAAAAGTGCCCTGGACACAAAATTACGACCGGAACAGGCTGGCTGGCTGGCTTCAGGAAGAATAAATCATTGGGATCAGACTGCAACGCTACGCTACGCATCATCGTAAAACAGAGCATAGAATGGCAGTCAACCCTTCACCTCAACTTTATAGAATTTAAAAAGGCTTTCGATCGAGGTGTCGACCGAGAAGTAATTTGGAAGATAGCTGCTTCAAAACTACGGCTTTAGTAGAATAAACCTTTATCAACCTCATTCAACAGATATATTCTATGTGATGCTACATGCAAGTGATTCACAACTGAAGGTTCAGTGGTGCTTTTGAAGTGAAGACAAGGGACAGGAGTAAGACAAGGTTTCCGTCTACTATCACTGATCATCTTCCTGATTGTGGTCGACTGAACTGGACTGCACTCGATCATGCAACAAATTGTGAGGAGGTGTGAGAAGATGGGCATACACTGTTGACTGATGAAAGATCATAGAAGATTTTGATTTCGCCTAAGATGGTGATTTACGTCTAATGTCTCATCTCACAGACTCGACGATCTACATGCGAAAACTAACAAGTTGGCAGGAGAGGTAGGGCAGCCAAGACAGAACTTCTTCAGTTGAGGGTAGAGAAGACAGAGGTGATGAAGATACCCAACCAACACGATCACCAACAACAACGAGCATCAATGACCATGAACGGGAGAAACCTGAAGGAAGTAGTCTCTTTCACCTACCCACCTAGCTAGGCAGCGTCGTTTCAATTACAGACGATACAGACACAGATTAGGATGCGAAAGCTAGCCATGATAGGAAAGACAGTAATACAGGCCTTCATTAATCTCAAATCAGTGTGGAGATCTACTGCACTGCACCTCACTGCATTAGAATAAAGCTTGAACAAGATCCGGATTTTCAACATTCATAACAGTCAAGTAAGTCAGTCCTCCTATGTGATGGTTGAGAGACTCACTGCGTTACGAAAAGCATTTCCAACAAACTGCAGACATACATAAACAGCTGCCGTCTACGCTTACTCGATACTGAAGATCAGATCAGATGGCCAGGAAGAATAAGAATAAGCAAGGAGAAACACTGACCTGGCAACAGACCAACCAACAACCCATCACCCAACAAATATGCTGAAGAAGGTGAGGATGGATTAGATTGGGCATACACTGAGAAGACCGACTAGGGACATCATGCATCAGGCCGTCGAATGGAATCGAAGGGGGAAACGATGAGTTTGGCGTCCTAGGGTGATATGGAGGAGATGGTGTGAGCAAGAAATGATAGCTTGTGGGCGATCGTAGAGCCAGGTTGAAAAGACTGAAGAGAAGAAAGTGAAATGGTGACATGCTACTGAATCTCTTTGTTTGACTAGGAACCCAAAGAACAAATAATAACAATAATAAAGAAGGTCTAAGAAAAAAGGTAGTAGAAATTATTTTCAAAACCAAATAGTATACTGAATGTATTTCATTGTAAAATATACTCACCTGGAGTATAAACAACAGCCTGAAAATTTTTTTCTTGCAAATATAATATTTGTTCAACCATTCGTTTTGTTTTCTGTTCATAAATTTCAATCTTATGTAAACATTGAGAATTAAAATATTTCATATCTTCATTGTCATTTTCTAATCTTCTACATTCACCTTTCAAACCTATTAAAAATGATTAGAAATAATTTTCAGAACCTTGAATTTTTTCTTCATAATTTTGTCGTATGATCATTAAATTATGATGTAGTTCATTATTTTCACGTATTAATCTACCATTATCTGCTTTATATGGAGCAATATAATCTTCAACTGTGGATCGTATTTTAGTCTGAGAGGAGAGTTCACTTTGAATCTTTCTTAAACTTTCAGTTGTCCAAATCAAATCACAAAATAAACGTTCCACTAATGGTAGACTATCTAAGCCTAATGGCTGTTTATATCCAAGCTGATCCAACCGTTTTCTTAATTTTACAAACTTTTCATGAGCTGTTATACAGGTACCTGTCATACTTTATCTGTAAACAATAAAAAGTTATTTCATATCAACTGATTAAAGAGTTCTAGTTCAAATAAAATATTTAGCAGAGTAAAAAATAGTTTAAAACTAGATTATTTGCAAGAACATTGTTGCTTAAGTGAATTATATTCAATTGCGATATTTAAAAGTGAGCAAAATATGCTTGTAATTTTGAGTTGCTATAGACAGTCGAATTGCTGCATATCTGTTGGCAGATGGTCACCTATGCTGAAGCCTTGATACTGCCAGATGTTTATCTTGGTGGCTAGCAGAGGATAACAGGACGCATATTTCGTCCTATTTAGGACTCGTTAGCTCTGTGCACCTTCACCTCAGTGAATGATGTTATTCCCACTGAGATTTGAACCCAGTATTCATCTCTTCAAACCCCAAAGCGTTATCCAAAACATGTACAGTAGATCTACCATGACTATATAAAAGCCACATTTATAAGTGTTCATGGATGTTGAGAGTAAATTTCTGTCCCACATGAAAATGTGTGAAGTATGGAATGTCACCTATCTACTAGCACTTATGAAGAAGGGACAAAGTATTTCAAATTTGTGATTATATAAAACACAAGATCATCACGTCATATGATAAGGAGAAGAATTCCTAGATGTTTTTTTTTCAGATTCCACAGTAGGACTGATGCAAATAAAGTAGTTAAAGTTAAAATAAAGATGGAAATCGTTTAATGGTTAAGAAAAATGTTAAAAGAGCTTTTTCAGAGAAAAAAGTATAAGATTTCAAATAACTAAATATTCCCATAATATTTATAAAAGGCAACAATTTGAACAATGAAGAATATTCTTTTCAATAAATTCTTTTCAGGTTCTACAACGATAGAGATGTATTTGTACAGCGTAAAAACAAGCCATATTATAGGCAGTTACGTTTTCAAAATGGAGTAAGATCTAGGGATTGTACGGAAATCAGTTTATCATTTTTAAATTAGTTAATATTGAGAATATAATAGTGAACAAAAAGATAACATATGAAGAAGGCAGGAGTTGCCTTTAGCTAGCTGAAGGCCAAGGGAAAAGTAACGCTTGGACATGTTCTTTCTCAACGCAAAGTTTAGGCCTGATCAATCGTATAGCAACAGCCTCCACTGTTCCTATTTATTGGTATACCTCTGTCGGCACAGAGATCGAACAATTCTATTCAACAAAACAACGGAGAACTACAAGTATATCAAGAAATAATCATAACTACTACCCGTTGTACAAGAAGTGGCTATCGTCCCTCCGTGCTTTAGTGGATAACGCTTTGGCGTTTAAAGAGATGCGTACGAGTCTCAGTGGAAAAAAAATCACTCACTGGGGTGGAGGTACATCCGGTTGACAAGTCCCGAATAGGAAGAAATGAGCGTCTCGGATTCCTCTGGTAACCACAACCAACTAAATTAGCCTCCACTATGTTGAGCAGGCAGTGGCAAGCTACACGTGATGTTGTTTTTGGAAAGTGATATACAAAGCCGACCTCTATAAAATGTCCTGTTGACTGCTCTAGTTAAGCGTTGTGACAGAATGTCACTTGCAACATCTCTCTTGAATTGTAAGCGCAGAAACAAAGACTTCTTCCCCACTATCATCAGTTATTGTTTAGGACTAAGGTAGTTGGTGTTAGTTACAATGAACTTGTCAGGATTCCTTTTTCACTTAGAATATGACAACAAGAAAACAAAGGTTAAACCAAAAGTGTTTTCGGTAAGTTCTCAACAGGGTTTACTTTTACGTTCACACCCGTGACCTCACCAGGAATTCAACTCAGGACCCTCAGGTTCGACAGCCAATATGTTACCGTAGAGCCAGTGTATCGGAATCCAGTGGTTCATATTTCAACATCTATCAGTTCACAATATAGCGCGATCATCACCCAATGTCATAGTTGAGTATTTTTCCGACTTAGTAACTCAATGGTAACGTGCTGGCCACTGAATCTGAAGGTCGCGAGTTCGACCACTGAAGGGTGGGGGTCGTGGATGCGCACTGCTAAAGAGTCTCATACTAAGACGAAACAGCTGTTCAATGCTCCAGGTTTCCAATGTTCCTCCAAATGATGTCAGTCCATGATGAAAACCAACTTAAAATATCTCTTAATCTCCACAAACCCCCGAAAACAGTGATAATGAAAAGAGCACAAATATGGTATTCACATTTATCCAGATGACCGGATGAAAAAGATCGTTATTGTATCTGAGTTGAATTTGAAGGTTATGACAGAGGAAGGGAATAAAAAAATGTATCTGTACACATAAATTAGATTTGGAAATTTTAATAGCTATGGCTTCTGCTAAGCTTGGCAATTTGAGGCACACCAACTTAGAGTATTATTATAGCACTTTGTAAATAATAGTAAATGGTGAGGTTCTGTCAATCTTATTCTCAGTATCTACGAAATGGGAAAATATTGAGCTTTCAGTAGATTTCACTTTCCCATTGCTCAGCCACACTTAAAAGTGCTCAATGAAGCGATGATAAGCTTCTTGAAACGTTCTACCGATGTAAACTTTCTCCATACGAGCAGTTAAATTTATAAATGCACATAGATGTAGCTAGACTCGGTGCCCAATCCTTCAACTCTATTTGCATTATATAGCAAGTAGTATGTTTCAAACATATTTTTCCGGCAAGGAAGGCATTTTCGGAGTTTTAATGTCAGTGTTTCTGCAGCTGCATCTCATTTGAATGCTAAAGTTAGATATAACCTTTTCTTTGGTACCGTCTGAAAGCAATTTTCTACTGCTGTTTTCATTGTAACAGTAATTACGAACTTCTCAGGATAACCATTCTTACATAGGGAGTTAGGTGTTATATTTATTTCATTGTACAAACTGTCACCTATGCAAATCTAACTGATTCGAAACATCAGTGTACGGATTAAGTTCCTTTAGTACGTAAGAAGAATGAATGTTTGGATATGTGTACACTGACTGACTCATAACTCCTTACGGAATATACTGCGTCTGATACTGCCATTTGTTCATCTTGATAATAATACACCAAGAAATAGTAGACATCCGTCTTTCTTTTTTCATGGGTGAACTCGATTTCTGGATGAACTGTTGAATGCACCATGAAAGACGTAAGCATTGGTATCCTTTTTGTACATATTTTTCAAGTGTCATCCATGTACACTCAATAGAAGGACAGTCAATCTATTGTGCTATGCAATGGTCCACTTTCCATTTTGCTTTAAATATGTCGGCTAGAAGAGGACCTGGTGGTGAATATATTGCCACAACTTCTATCTAACGGTAAGTTTCATTGTTAAATTGAATTTATACACTCATAGTACAATGAAGAAGCATCTCTCATAGGGTTTCAAATGGCATACTTACCACCATCTTGTTATCTACCAGTGGACGAAAAAAACTTAATTCAAGCGTATCCTTTAAGCTATATTTGGTCATCTTATGTTGTAATGGTCTCAGTTTATCCCCTAGCCATCTTGTTACTTCGTGTAAGGGTGAATTGAACATGTCTAAGATAGGCCACACTGGTAAGTTAGGATTGAGGGTTTTGGGTAATCCATACAATTTTGGTATTTTTATGTCTACAGGTTTAAGTTGTTCAAAAGTATCCGGTGAAATTGTGCCAATAGTCAATAATGTCATCAATATTTTTGAAAATTTCTTTTCCATTTTCTCAGTGTGATCTCACCAACTAATCAATTTCTAGAACTTTGTAGTATCTTCATGGATGCCAAACATTCTGTCACTATAGCCGTCCCCATCCAAGAGTAGAGTTCAGTTCCCTTGTCTAACCTCGTTTTAAACATTATCTGGTCCAGCCAGATTTTCCTCAACGCTTTAGAACGCTTTTTGTCGAGCATATTCTTGTCGTTGACTTTCCTTGATTGACAACAGAAAGGTTTTCAATACTTCCGCTTTTGCAGTAGACGACAAGATTAAATCAAAGATTTGACTAGAGATTTTTAACTATGATTCTGTTTCATTCTCATAGAACAATAGCTCAAGTTACAGAATTTCGACTCTAGTTATAAAACCTGTACGTCCAATGAACTGAGGGAAACAGTTGAAAAGCTATGAATGTATCTCTGGAGATTGGTTAGAAACAGACATCGTGATGTCTACACATTTATCGATCACCTCCTTCACATACTTCTTGAACACGGAGTCCAAGTATCTTATGAAAGGTTGGTTGAAGATCCCAAGCGATGCCTAACTGAAACCAGTCGCACAAGGATTGTTTAGAAATTTGAGATATGACGAAATTTTGAATCTGGGCTATGAAAACCGAAGTGTTATTTTTAGAACTGATCTTTTTTAACTTCTCCTTTGTATAAGGAAAGCCAAAATAAACATGAAATATTGGTCATGCCTTAGAAACATCTTAAAGCTGAGGAGTCCCACACTAGGGCGAAACAGCTGTCTAGTGCTCCCAGGTCTTCTTAGTTCCTCCAACTGATGAAAGTATTCGATGAATAACAACTTGAAATTTATATTATAGCGGTAACTACTTTAGTCTTGTCACTATTCAACAAACCTCTATGGGATTTTTCCAGCCAGAAACGCTAGTATAATTATTGCGACAAACGAAGCTATCTACCACGGTCCTGACTAATAGTGAAGCTTACACTATATTACTTTATTTTCTTTCTTAATCTTTACTGTCAACTGGTGTGAACCATTATTATTTTCCTTTGCATTCTTATCGCGTTCAACAAGCACGAAATGCATCTTTCATTTTATTAACTCCATGATTTATATTGACTAAAAGGTTAGATGTCCATACTGAAGCGCTTCAGGAAGACCAATGATTCCAAAAGACCCATAGATTGTTTACTAAAGATTAAGGTAACTGGTCAACAAATAGGTTTAGTTGTATTAATACAACCAGGTACCCAATATAATCACCAAATTTCCACATAATTCCTTAGAATATTCTTGCTGGAACTAAAAGCTTGTTTTGTATTGCAGCAATTCGAATTCTGAAAAGAAATGTCATCTCTATAGACTGAAATTATTAA